GAGGGGTATTAAGTGCATTTGTCTTCTGTTTTCTTCTCTTTTAAATAGTGTCTTGCTATGTAGTTCAGGCTGGCATTGAACTCATCATACTGACATCAGCTAACATCAAACTTGCAGTGATTTTCCTGCCTCAACCTCTGCAGTCTGGAATTACAGGCGTGCACCACACACCCTGCTCACTAAACACATTCTCTACTTAGCATATTTTGAATTAATGATAGTTTTATTGAAATGTGACCCTGTCATAATTTAAGGGACATGTATACTCTGTTTTTATTTCCGATCAAGATAAAAATTTCAGGACCCCCCCCCAACAAATTAAAACAAGAAAAAAGATTTTTAAAAAAAGAATTTCAGACCTTGATGTCACCAAATGTCAGGTGTCACAGCTAAGACTGGCACAGTCTCTGTGGTGGAAGGTACCCTGCCGCAGGAGGCTGTGTGTCACCCTCTGTGCCTTGCTTGTCTCTTCACATGTCACAGACTCATCAGATCTCAGCTTGGGCTGAACTCTCTGTCATCCTAGCTCAGGTGCAGTGTCCTAGCTTTTCCCCTGAGCTGCCCACCTGTGTTGTGACACTGTGTGCCGCAGTGGACTTTGTGTACTGTTTCTCTGTTCTAGTCACACTTTCCTGTTCCCTCACTGGCAGTTCCACCCCCTGTCCCCCGGAGCTAAGGGCCCACGCATGGGACCTCTCAGGATCAGGAACTTGAGGAGGAAGATGCTCTGGGCCCTGAGCATGAGGGGTTTGGTTCATGGGTGTAGAGAGTCATAGCAGGAATGCAGGCTGTAGGGGAGGAGGGCCGAGAGCACAGACCCCGTGTCCCCTAGCCTGTTTCCCACCAGCGTCCAAGACTAGTGGTTCCTAGTCAGTGACCCAGCCCTGGGATGAGCAGCCAACACTGAGGCCGCAGGCAGCAGCCACCTAGGCCTTCCCTTGAACGAACGGCTCCCTTCTCTGCCTGAGTTCATTTTCTGTTGTCATATCAATGCGGGAGACTGGGTTACTTATAAAGGAAAGAAGCATAGTTAGTGCGTGGCACTCAGAGGCCAGGAGGACCAACGGCAAGGGCCAGCATCCCACAAGGGCGTAATGCTGTTTCCCCTCATGGTAGACAGTAGCAGGGCAAGTGGGCATGTGTAGAAGAGGCCAGATGTCAGTCCCTTTTAATGACCAAATTACCTCTTAAGGCCCCACATCCCAACACCACCAGCGGCAATCAGATTTCAACTGGAGTTTCCAGAGGGACAGACCATAGTGCAGTGTGTGCTCTTTATGTTTCTTTTTCTTCTTTTTCTGCTTTCTCCTCCTACCAGGGCCCTCTTGTGGTCCCTCACCTCAGGGCAGCCACCCCCACACAGGGCACATCCTTTCCTCCCGCCCCAGCATGGAACCTTTGCAAGCCAGCCCAGCCTTGGCAGCCCAAGAGTTGGGGCACTGCCAGGAGCTGTGTGCATGAACGGGCAGTGCCCAGCTGGCCCCACAGGCCAGCCTAGGACCTACTCCTCCAAGAAGCAAATCTCAAAAGGGCAGCCATTGGTCACAGCCCAACTGGGCTGTCCCCAGGGAGTAGGATGGGGGAGGTGAGGGGGGAGGAGGAGGGAGGGGCTGGGAGAAAGCCGCCCTTCCTGTGGTGCCTGCTGCTAATTGGCTCTCTGGGGCAGCTTGGGACACGGGGGCCAGCTGGGGCAGGAAGTGGCACACAATGCTGCTCTTTCAGGGCGACTGCGCTGATCTGGTCTCAGGTCCCGTGTGACTCCAGGGAAAGCTGGAGGACAGCCTGTTCTCAGAGGATGTTCTCTAACCTAGACCCCCCTCCAGAGGTGAGCCACTGAGCCCCAAGCTGCCACCCCCTGCACTTGGGGCACCACTCCCCCAGGCATTGAATGCCTGGAGAAGGGTGGGACCAGTTCAGATCCAGTGATTTCCTCTAGAGTCTGGGACTTCAGGGACAGGAGCATTCTCTGAGCAGCTGGGGTCACATGTGGGACTCTTAGGGTATTTAGGGGACAGCAAAACCTGGGGCCTGAGCAAGCTGTGGGCCTGTGGGGACAGAGAAGCAGGATCCCTACTCTCTGGACTTAATCTTAGAGGAGAGGGAAGGCAGGATACTAAGTATCAAACACATTAAAAGACTTCAGAATTAACAAAAGGAAAAAAGAAAAACAAATGATTGGCCTAGGTAGTTTAGTAAGTGCAAAAAAATGTGCAATGGGCTGTGCTCTGAAAATGGGTAGATGCATGCAGTATAGGATAGGATGCAGAGGTAGGATCCCAGGTGCAAGATGTTCAGGGACCAGGTCCTAGCAGATTTTTGCCCTGGAAACCTGGAGGCAGGTGACATTCCTAGGGCCTTAGGTGATATGTATTTGCTTAAGACCTATGCTCAGCCCTGCCCAGTATGCTGAGCCCCACCTTTGTCACTGAAGCTGGGCCGTAGCCTCCAACCGCGGGACAGCCTGTGCCTAGCTATGTCCACAGAAGTAACGATGATGGGCACGCTGGTTGCAGTAAGAAGCTTCCAGGAGCCACCTAGCCATAGGAGGAAACATGGAGGCCAGTGGGGCTCACAGGTTCCTGGAGCAGCAGCTTTAGGAAGCACTTCTGTCAGATGATAGACTAGGCCCTTGTCACTTGGACTCATTGTGGCAGCCAGTGACTCTGATGCCCACACAGATGTCCCATGCTTCTCTTAGGGCATGAAGAAGTAACTGCTCACCGGACAGATGAAGGGCATTTGTCTGATTCTTCACCTGTTCAAGAGCCTTTAGAGCCAGGGATTGAGCTCAGTGGTGTAAGCACCTGCCTGGCAAGTGCAATGTCATGAGTACTATCCCTGGTTCCAAGAAAAAAAAAAAAAAAAAGATGAATTAAGAGCTTAATTCTGGTGGAGAAAAAAAAAAACAAATAAATATTAACTTTCTAGGGGCTGAGGGTTTAGCTCAGTGGCATAAGCGCCTGCCTGGCAAGTGTGAGGTCATGAGTTCAATCCCAGGTACCAAAAAAAAAAAAGAAAGAAAGAAAGAGCCTTGAGGACCCCCAGTACCAGCTCAAGAGCCCTGTGGACCCCAGTACCTTTCATGTCACAACTCCTTTCCCCAACATCCTTGACCTTTAAAATAGTCGAAAGTAGGAAGGGACCTAGAAATCACCTAATTCAGTGTGAGCCTGTAAGTCTTTTTCAGTCCCCTGGAGTAATGACTTAGTGGCAAGGTGATTCTTTGTCCAGGATTTATCTACTTCAGAATAATCCAAGGCGCTGGGGCTTCAGTGGTATAGAGCAGGGGTCTAAAAACCGTAGCTGTCCATCCCCCACCTGTTGTACAGCCTCATTCACTTGTGTATCCACTCAGTCTTCAGTGGCAGAATCAGATCATTGTGATAGAAACTATGTAGCCCGCAAAGCCTCAAATATTTACTGATAATTACTATTTACAGAAAAAAAGGCTGGCCCTGGTCCATAGCAAACAAATGCATAATGGTTGATGCTAGATGACTCTTCATGTTTGTGTGTGTTTGGACTTTTCCATATTGAAAGGTTAAGAAAACACTTTGACCCTAGTAGTCACTTCACTTCCAGAAGTCTATGCCATGGAAAGAAAACCATCTGTTAGTTACTAAGGCTGTCTGGGTGTGTGTGCACGCGCGCACACGCCTGTCTGTCTATTTCTGTGTGTCTGTGTATCTGTGTGTCTGTGTTTATGTGTCTATGTCTGTGTGTTTACTAAATAGTTTACAGTGGGGGGAGAAACTGGGAGTGATTGATTGTCTACCTGTACAGGAAAATGAACATAAATTATCTCCACCCACACTGGGGAACAGTATGTTGGCCCTTTAAAGGATGAAGTAGAGGTTTGGAGTTTACTTGAAGAATGTTGATGAGATATTTTCCAACAGCAAATGCAAGATAGGAGAGTCTATATGCCCTGATGCCATGTTCCTAGAATGATGGCAGAATTCCCCACTTAGTATGTAGGAGAGTGTGTGTGTTTGTGTGTGTGCATGCACATGCGTGTGCATGCATACACACATGCATGAGTAGGAACCCTAACAGGTTTTTGATGGGGGTTAGGAGTGATTAATGTCTGTGAAAAGGAATCAAGCAAAGTTTTAGAAAGAAAAAATTTCCACTATATAGTGAACAGCCTACACGATAGGATTCCGTTTATGTGTTTGTGTGAATTTTATTCATGCATGTGTGTCATTAAATTTATGAGAATTATAGCTGGACACAGCTTTACCCAGCCGTAGTACATGTAATTCCAGCCTTTCAGGAGGCTGAGGCAGAAGGATTACAAGTTTGGGTATCACCTTGGCAATTTAGTCAGACTGTCTCAAAAAATACAAAGGGCTATGGATATAGCTCAGCATACCCTGGTTTTAATCCCCAGTGTGATAAGAATAAATAAGCAAATAAGTAATTTTAGAAAGGGATTGTGAAGACATGTTTTTAATGTCTTTTGATAGAATGAAGGAGAGAAAAGGAAATTTATCAAGGAGTTAAAAATGCCCAAGAATGAGAAAGTGAGCAACTGGAGTGGCAGCCAGGGAAGGCCCCATGCAAGGTTTTCGAGGTGACAGGGGCAGCTGGATGGTCTCAGACCACATTCGCTCCCTGACATCAGCACCCCTTCCTCCTGCTCCCCAAGGAATAATGTTTCCCTGGAGGATGAAAAGCCTCCCTTTGTGTGAACTTTAATTGCCATGTTGTTGTGCCAAGTGAATGAGTGGCAGGCGGGTGCAGCAGCTGTGCACAACCAATGCCAGGCAGCAAAGCCTGCTCCATCCAGGACCACCAGGACCAGCTGGCCTGGGAGCGCTGCCCACCTCTGCCCCAGCTGGGTGCCCGCAGAGGAACCAGCCTCCCTTGGCAGAGGGGGTCTGCAAGGAAAGGAGCATCGGAGGAGGAGGGAGGGGCAGGCCGTCGCAGGATCTCAGCCCCTCTCAGAGGCTTATTCATCATATCCTCCTTTCTCCTCCCCCCTTCTTGTTTTGCAGACTGTCAGCATCAATAAGGCCATTAATACGCAGGAAGTGGCCGTGAAGGAAAAACATGCCAGAAATATCCTTTTGGATGTTGGGGAAGGCTGGCCCCGTGGAGGTCAAGTCATGGGGACTGAAGTCAGGAGAAGCTCTTGCATGGCCATAGGAGGGAACCCCTTCCTGGCCAGGTGCCTGCAGGCTGGAGCAGCTTCCGGTGGCAGCTGCAGGCTGTCCAAGAGCACTGGCTTAGAGCACACGGACATCAGGGTGGGAAGGACCCACAAGGCCATGGAGCCCAGTCCTTTCAGCTTGCCTTAGAGAGCGCTCCCAGGGCTCACATCTGTGCTTCTGCATTTTGCCCATACAACCACATTGACCAAACCCAAGGGACACAGTGATGTCCCATCTCCTGAGCTTGAAAGATTAAAAAGAAGCCTCAGCTACAGTTAAATTGAGCCAGGGGTCGACAGGCAAGTAAGTCCCACCTTGTGAGCAGGCATGGCCTGTGCCATTGTGCCTGAGGAAACTGATGGCTTAAAAGTCCTCCCAGGCCACCACACTGAGTCAGCCATCATGAGACCATCACTATATAAGGGGTACAGACTGATGGGCTCCCTGGGATCTGCCCTGTGATCCTCTGGATTCAGAGGACTAGATCCCTGAAGGCTGATGGAAAAAGACCCCAGTGGGACAGACTGCAGAACCCCTGGAGGCTGGCATCATTGGCCATGGGAAACCTCTGCTTGCCTGGGCTTATGCAGGTCACTTTGCCCCAGCAGTTAGAGCACAGCTGCTTGTCCCTAAGCTGCCAGCGTTGGCCCCTGGAGGAGACCTGTCAGGTTAGAGGGCCAGAGACAGAAAGCGCTGCTCCCCATGGTGCACCTCTTGTGGGGGCTGTCCTCTGGTTGGAATTAGTATGTTACTATGGTTACTATGGGGGCTTTGGAATCTCTGCGGTAATGCAGAAGCCTGATCCAGTAGTGAGGCTGGCCAGTGCCTAGTTCCTTTCTCCCCAGAAATGTTGCTGAGCCAGGCTTGTTTTGCTCACCATGCAATATGCCAATCACTGAAAGGATGGGTTTTGGGGAAGAGCTCGTTCATGAGGTAGTCACAGTTACAAAGACAGGAGAGCAGCTCTCAACTGCCCCCCAAGGGATGGGATTGAAAGGTATTTATAGGATAAAGAAGTAGAGTAGTCGAAGGCATGGGGACTAGTTATTGGAAGAAGCAGAGTAAGGCAATCAATAATCCGGTCATAGGTAATCACACCCACGGCTTCTGATAGGAGGCATGTTCTGAGTATGCTTTCTGGGTAGAGTGTTGGTGCTGTGACCCAAGTGAAGGGGTCAATAGTTTCAACTGATTTGAGCTAGACAAGACTACCTCCTAATTCCTAAAAAAAGATTTAACCAAGCCAGATGTGGGGGCAGACATCTATAATCCCAGCACTCTGGGAGACTGAGGCAGGAGGATCACAAGGTTCAGCCCAGCCTAGTCAATTTAGCAATTTAATGAGATTTTTGTCTATAAATAAATAAATAGGCTGGGAATGTAGCTTAGTGTAAAAGTCCTAGGTTTAATCCCTTGTAACAGAACAAGACAAAACCATTAATTTGACCATAGAGATGTGAGCAAAGATACCATAAGTGAATACTTTATCATTTAGCTAAGCAACTTCTAAGATCAGGGATGAAAATAAGTAACTAGAAGCAAGTAAAGCTAGAGGTTTCAGTTTTTCCTTGGAGCTCAGAAGGCCCAGTCAGTCTCTTTACTGCAGCACACTCCATTCCCTTGCCAGGATTAAAGATACAGAGTCCTTGTTTTAAGTGGCCCAGTAGAAGGCTCAGTCCTGACCCCTCCTGGCTGAGGATGTGTGGTCAGTCTGCTTGGAGCTGAGTGGCAGAGGCTGAGGACCTCCTCAGGCTGGGGCTTAGGCCTTCAGAGGGAGGGTGCCTGGGATGGATGTGGCGACTCCAGAAGATTCCAGAACCCACTTGAGGCTCCCTGCTGGCTCTGAGACCTTATTTAGGGTCATGGATCCTCAGTTAAGATTTCCAATTAAAGAGTTTGAGAGAGAAGATTGACAATTTCTATATGTGGACAGATGTCAAAAACATCAGCTCCAGGGGCTGGGGATTTAGGTAAGCGGCATAAGCACCTGCCTTGCAAGCAGCAGTCATGAATTCGATCCCTGGTACTGATAAAAAGGAAAAAGACAAAAGTAAAAAATAAAAAAAATCAGCTCCTTATGATACAGGTTTAAAATGCCCAGTTAAAAAGATGAAAAACATCCTTTATCAGTTCTTTTAGCAGCTCTTCTGGATCCCAACTAAAGAAGCACTAATGGTCTGACTGCAGAAATGCTGTTCAGTCTATCGCAGATCCCAGCGTGGGAACAGGCTGTTCCCCTTCCATGGTGTCCACTCCTGAAGGGCCTGGGACTGAGTCTTATTTAATAGTTTTCTCCATGGGCACCTGTCATAAGACCTGACAAATACCTGGGGGTCATAAAAAGGCTTATAAAACTGAAGAACGCTGGGCAGCTCTCCTGGCTTCTCTCAGAGTCAGGATGCCAGCTGGCTCCAGAGCTTTGTGGCAAATGTGTAGACAGTGGCTGCTGGACACAGGGAAGGGCAGAGTAGGCAGCTGTGCCTCCTGCCTGCTCTGTCTCATCTCAGAGTAGACCCAAAGTGTGTATTTCTAAGTGATTTGAGAAATTGCTCCAACACCAAAAGGTGATTTTAGCTTCTCAACCCAAAAACCTGTGTTCACAGCCACCCTCTCAGAATGACAGTTTCATCCACGGAAGGAGCTTTGTGGCACCTTTAGCTCAGGAACAAAACAACATGTGTTCCAGATGAGTCATTGCTCTCTGACCCTAGGAGAGTCGTTTTTCGACACCAGGCTCCTCACCAGTGCCTGGATGAAGAGGCTTCGAGTCTGAGGAAGGAGCTTGCTCAGGGCTGATGGTGCTTGGTAAAGGGGCCTTGAGGCCTCATTAAGCAAAGACTCATGGAAACCTCTTCTTCAGAGTTGGCTTGCTAATGACTGAAATCTGAATGCTGAACCACAAACCACGCAAAGCCAGATGGACACTTTGGAGCTCCAATGGCACAGTCGCTTAGCACACAGTGCCTACACAGATGGACATTTATTACATGCTGACTGCAGCAGGTGATCTGCAGGTAGTGTGTGCATTTGGATTTGGGTCTGGAAAGCAGTGGCCCCACGTTCCCACATGCAGGCATCAGAGGTCCCTGAAGGAAGCCAGACAGATTGATGGAAGAGTTGGGGGCTGTAGGCATTTCAAGACTGCAGGAAGAGAATTTTAGACAGGAACTTTGAAAGGAGCAAGTAGAGTTGCCTGACTGGTGAGGGTTTGTAGGTGCTGCCAGGAAGAGGACCCCAGAGAATCAACCAATCAGAGTGGAGGACTCCTCCGCATCATCCAGGGTCTGAGATAGAGCAGTGGAGCACACCCTCTTGCATTCAATGCTTGCTTGCAGTACTAAAGCTAGATCCCAGGGCTCCATGCCTGCTAGGCAAGGGCTCTGCCATTGAGCTACAGCCCCAGCCCTCATCCTCACTTAATAATTTCCAAGAAAGCATTCTGAGATGGTGTCATGTGTTGTTAGAATGTTACCTGTGTTAATAAAATGTCGTGTTAATAAAACGTTATTCCCCAAGGGTCCCCTTACCCACGTGGTACCCAGAGGAGGGCAAGCCAAGATTGATTCTGGCCCTGAGGACATTTGTACAAGTTAGGAAAAAAATATCAAGATGCTTCTGTCCCTGAGGAAATTTTCGCACAAGATGGATTGCACCAGAAAAGGGCATTTTATTGCCATCAGCTCAAAAATTGTCAGAATGAACACTCTGATCTTTGGGCCTTAGCAATGAGTAATGTCCCGAGTGCCCCCACCCCCTCAAAAGTAGCACCATGTGACCTAAGTAGCTGCCAGACCCTCCTCAGTGACCAGTTGCTAATGTGTCCTGGGTGTTAGTGGCCTACGGCAGGGCCCACACCTTTGCTTTCCATGACTCGCCTCACCGTGCATCCTGGGCACCCACCACGAGAAAGGAGCTCAGACCTTTTGGTCCGTCGTCAACCGGCTGCCTCTCTCCAGCAATGCCATGCTCTGCTGGAAGTTCTGCCACGTCTTCCACAAGCTGCTCCGTGACGGACACCCAAATGTAAGTTTCTAGGGCACAGGGGAGGCCAAGGAGCCAGAGAAGCTGTGGGGAAAGTGACTGCCGGGACACAAGGTTGGTGGTCCACTGCCAGACCCTTCTCTCGCCCTCTGGGTTACCAGAGAAGTAAATGCACCTGTTCTGATCGGCCTACCCAGGCCCAGCTAGACTGACCTCTGACTATCCCTTCTTTTCCCTTATGGCTGTCCTCTTCCTTCTGCAGGTTCTAAAGGACTCCCTGAGATACAAAAACGAATTGAGTGACATGAGCAGAATGTGGGTGAGTTTGAAGATGGGTCCAGGAGCCCCAAAACAAGGACTATGGGATGGCACAAATTCCTCTCTTGGCAAGCTTATTTAGAATTCCTCCCGTGTGCATCAGGAAGAGGCTTAGGATGACACCAGAGAGTACCGCCATGTCTGCTATCTTTCTTGAGTACCTGGAAGCTGCAGAAAAGTTCCAGGGCCTTGAGCCTCTCCTGCCAGTGGAACTGCATGTCTCAAAGCTGTTCAGGCTTAGCACGGACATTGCCAGAGTTTTTCCTTGGGGACACAGGAAATTGAGAATTAGCATTTTTAATTTTTAATGCCAATCCCCATTTTCTCCCCCTAGCTGGGGATTTTCAGTGCCTTAGAATGAGGGGGAGGGTACATGGCAATATTAAAATCACTCACACTCCTAGATCCCTCTGGAGTCTGATGGCTGAGGTTACATGTGTGGGGCAGGGATGCTCCATCCCATGAAGCACCTCCTGACTGTGGAAAGATGTTTTCCGTCTGCTGACTGACAGCCGCTACTTCAGCCTTTCCATTTGGTCTTACCCTGTATCCAGCACTCACGAATTACTTAGTTCAATGTGCTCATAAATGAGAATAGGTACAGAAAGAGAAAGTGGTTTATCCTGAAATCACAAGGCCTATTACCTGAGACTTGACCCCCAGTTCTTCCCTATGATCTATACAGCTATGGAATTTTCCTAGGATATCTTTTTCCATTCTTTTTTTTTTTCTTTCTTTCTTTTTAAAAAGACAAGATCTCACTATATAGTTCAAGCTGGCCTTGAACTCACAGCAATACTCCTGCCTCAGCCTCCCCACTATTGGGACTATAGGCATGCACCACCGTGTCAGACCATTCTTTTTTTTTCAACTTGCCAATATTTTCACATTAAAGGAATGTTTTATAAATAGTATTTACTGTAGTTGAGTTTTCGTTTTGGTTTCATTTTTGAAATGAGATCTTGCTATGTTACTCAGGTTGGCCAAGAAGCAATTTTGTTTTCTGTTGTATTCAAGATGGCAGTCTTGCTGGGATTTAGCTCAGTGGCATAAACACTTGCCTTGCAAGTGCACAGTTGTGAGTCTGATCCGCAGTTCAAAAAAAAAAAAATCCCAAGATGGCAATCTTGGTCTTTTAACTAGGCATTTGGGCCATTTACATTTATTATAGCACAGGATATATTTAGATTTATATCCCATTGGTTTGGGGGGCATTTTTTTATTTGGTTTGATTTAGGATTCTTTTTGGTGCTACACATTGAACCCTAGGCCTCTACCACTAAGCCACACCCTAAAGCCCCCACGTTTCTCATATTATCTTGCGCTTTTCTATTTGTCTCCTTTGTTTTTATTTTTATTCTACTACTCTGATTCTTTGCTTTAATATGGATTGATTGGGATTTCTTATTCTGTTTTTCTCTTTATTGTTGGAACATTTTTAAAAATCTGTTTTATAATAACTACAAAATACTTGCTTACTTATCAAGGTCTAAATTTCTGTCTGTTTCCTGTAGAACACAAAGACATTAGTATTCTAATAGCATTCACTCTCTCAGTTTGTGCATTATTATTATGTTTCTGTTTGAAGTTATTATTTTATTTTGTACACTTCTCAGACCTTTCACTTGGGCTTACTTTCTGCCTGAATTAATTCTGTTAGAACTTTCTATACTGAGCGCCTGCACTGAGCGTCTGCTAGTGACAGACACATGTTTCTTATGTGAGAAAGTCTTTGTTTCAATCCTATTTATGGAAGATGTCTGCCCTGATTTAGAATTCTAGGCCAACAATTCTTTTCTCTCAGCACATGAAGAACAGTATTCCACCGTCTTTCCACTGACCTCCAGCTTCCGTTGTTTTCTTGGAAGTCAGCTGTGAGACTCACCATTGTGCCTTTGAAGTTAATCTGCAATTTTTCTCTGGTCATTTTTTGTTATTGTTGTTGCAATACAGAGGATTGAACCCAAAGCTTTCACACTGAGCTACATCCCCAGTACATTTTTAAATTTCTGTTGTGAGATAGAGTTTGGCTAAATTGCCCAGGATAGGCTCAAATTTCTGACACTTCTGCCTCAGCATCCTATAGTTTTGGGATTCGGATTATAGGTAGTAATCTCTGTGCCCAGCAGCTATTTTTAGTATCTTTTATCAATTAAGAACACTTCTGATTGTCAGTTCAAATACTGACTTTGCATAAGTCTTTCCCAAAACGAAAAACAAAAAGTTGCTTTCACTTCTGAGACCTTGGTTAGAATTTTGTCAGTGACTTGTACCTTGTTGTTAAGGTGCTGTATTGTTTTGTTTCTACCAATTTGTCTCTGCCGCAATCTGGGTAATTTCATCAGATCCAGATTTCAATTTACTTACTCTTTCTTCATCTGGGGCTAGCCTGTTGTTAAATTCTTCATAAAGTTTCCAATTAGTGTATTTTTCATTGCTTTCAATACATTTTTTTTGTTTTTGTTATTTGTCTTGGTATCTTTACAATTTTTATGCCCTACAAATACTTTGAAACAATCTCCTATATTTAGATATAACAAACTTAGTTATTTCAGATACTACTGTTTTTGTATTTTTGTTTGATTTGGTTTGATTTTTGAGTCAGGGTCTTGCTATTTAGTTCAGGCTGACTTTTGAACTGCTTGCGTAGCCCAGGCTGACCTCAAACTCATGGCAGTCCTCCTGTCTCAGCCTCCTAAGTGCTAGAATTACAGGCATGTATTACTTTTTATAATTCTGTTATCAGAAGTCCTTAGAAGTCTGTCTCTACCATCTGGCATTTCTAGTGAATTTTACTCATGCTTTGTAGTTTCCTTTGTACTTGATTATTTTTTACTGTGAGCTCCTTGTTTTCCTTGAGATATTACTTATGGAAATTCTTTGAAGTCTGTAACAAAGCAGGTTCCTCCAGAGAGATTTGGTATTTGTTTCTGTTAAGATCACTCTAAATTAAATTCTCAGCTGGAGGTTTTATGAATTCTGAGAAGATCCTCTTGAGGCCTGGCTCATAGGTCTAATTCTTGGGAGCATATTTTCTTTCCCTCTGATCATCAGAACATTCTAAGGCCATGAATGCTTCTCTATGATCCTCAGGGAGGAATTCTTCCATACAGGAATGCCAGGGGTTGTGTGCATGTGCATGTGTGTACGTGCATATGTACACGCATATGTAATTTTCAGTTTAACCTTACTTCCCTTGTACCCAAAAGCAGTCTCCTGACCCTTTCACTTAATTCTTCCACCAGGGCAAGCTAGAGCCCTACTCTCTGGCCCTTGAGGCTCAGGAGACCTATGTTTTAGTAGTTTTCAGTAGGAAAGTCAAACCAAGTTCCTAACCTGCCTTGTTATTCAAGCCTTAATGCCTTTCTTCATGTGCAGTTCTGTCTTAGTCACTTTCTGACACAATTTCCAACACCCTCAACTTAAAGGGGGAGAGGTTTAGTTTGGTTCACCTTTTTTAGAGGTTTTAGTTGATAGTCAGCCAGCTCCAAGGCAGGAAGGCATGACAGCACAGGAAAAGTCGCTTATGCTATGGCAGCCAGGAAGCAGAGAACTAAGATGAACAGGAAAGTGGGAGATAAACTCTTCCAGGTCACACCGCCAGTCACTCACCGCTTTGAACCAGGCCTCACCTCTTAACATCACCCCCATGATTTAGTCACCTTCCAACAACCCATGCCTGTGAGTGCCTGGAACACTTGGGGAACATCTAGATATAAACCACAACAACTTCTGTCTCTCACCGTGGATGAAGAGTCTCTGAAAATCAGAGTCTTTCTTTGTTTTTGTTTTGGTAATGGGGATTGAATCCCGGGCTCTTGCTAATCTCCAGCTCTTTTTTAATTTTTTTGAGACAGGGTCTCATTAAGTTGCCCATGCTGACATCATGTGCTATGTCTATCCTTGGTTTTGACTGACAGCTTTGTTTTGCCATATTTGACTTTATTCTCTCCCCCCCCCAAAAAAGTAATAAGAACTAAGGAGTAATAAAACCCAAAATGTGTGGATTTTGTTGTAAAAAAGAGAGGGAAAAAAAGAGCTCTAAAGGATACAACAGCAAGTGTGTTTTGTTTTGTGTTTTTCTCTTTTTCCTTTTAAATAAAATTTAAAAAAAAAAAAGTTGCCCATGCTGGCCTCAAACCTGCAACTCTCCTGCCTCAACCTTACCTTACCTCGAGATTACAGGCATGTGCCACTATACCTCGCTGTCCATCTTTTCTAGTCCTTGTGCATTTTCATATTACAGTTGTCTCATCTTTTCACTTTCCAGCAATATGTTCTGCAAGCACTGGCAGCTGCGTGTTGATGTGTTGCCTTCCCTGATTCCTCCTCTCCCTCAGTGCCCTGTCCGGAGTGCACTAGTCCAACCTAGAGGGCCTGGCACATTTAAAGAGAATGGAGGAGGCCAAACTCACATGGGAACCGTAGTCATCAGAGTTAGGTCTTTGCATCCCAGGTCCCTCCTTTTTTATTGGTAACTGGGAGTTGCCAGCATCACTCTGCTAGTTTGCCCCCTCCCATGAGAAGGTTCAGGGAGACTCTCTGTGTTTCAACCCCACCCTGTGGACTGTTAAAGATGTGGACTGTTAAAGATGCTGTTTGTCACCAGAGTCTGACTGAAGACTTGTTCTTTTACTGTGCTTAGAGAGGCAGAGGAGAAGAAATAGCCCCTCCCTGGACAATGAGTGATCATGGTAGACACTAGAATTGTTAAATAGAAAGTCTTGTCCAAATTTACCATCAGGAAATCCTTGCAGGATTGTACTGCAAACAGAGCATAGTGATGCTCCCGTAGTCCCAGCACTCAGGAGTCTAAGGCAAGGGATTGCACAGCCCTGGAGCTTAAGGCCAGTCTGGGCAGCATAGCAAGACCCAGTCTCAAGCAAAAAAGCATTAAATTGTAAGAAAATGCTCATGGTGTTGGATGGACATGATCAATGCACAGAATATGTGCAGATGGCAATACCACAATTTTTATTATAATTAATAACTTTAATAAAAATTTTAAGTGCTATTGAAATGTAATTTGTAACAGCAAAAATTTCAACTCATTTCAACTGGCTTCACCTACTTTGTATTGAATCGGTTTAATAAATTATAGTGCATACATACAAAGTACTGGGTAGCCACTAAAAGTGATGATGTACAGAACTAGGCATGATGGTGCATCGCCATAGTCCCAGCTTCTCAGGCATTTGAGGCAGGAGGCTCACTGAACTTTCAAAGTTGAGGCCTGCCTGAGCAACATGGGGAGATCTCATCTCAAAAGAAAAACATAATGTCTTCTAAAGATGGAAAAAAAGATTACAGTGCATTACATAAAAAACATGTTTGTTCCATTTTTATATATAAGAATAAAGGTGGTGCCCTAAGGATTTGGGGCACTGAGATCATGGGGTGTGATATTTTATGGCAGATCTGTGTTATATGTTTTGTCAAAACCTATTGCATGTACAGCACAGAGTGTGAGCTCGGCTGTGAACTTGGACTTGGGGTGATAGTGACTGGTCACTGTAGATTCATCACTGGAACAAGTGTGCTTCTCTGCTGAGGGCTGTTAATAGCGGGGAGGTGGTTTGTATTGGGGACACACAGTATATGAAACTCTGTACAGTCTATTCAGTCTTGCTGTGGACCTAAAACTGCTCTTAAAATTGAAAAAAAAATTAATAAAAGGGAAGATTATATGTAGTAAGTGTTAGCCATGATGTATTTAGCAGTATAATAATATTATATTTGTATATGTGCTTTTCTATATTTTCCAGATTTTTAGCCACTAACATTTGGGTGTTTTTGTTTTTGTTTTTTGGTACTGGGAATCAAACTCAAGACCTCACACTTGCCAGGCAGGCACTGTGCTGCTAAGCTCTTTTCTTTACTTTCTCCTCCTCCTCTTTCTCCTCCTCCTTCTCTTCCTCCTTCTTGTTTTCTTCATTTTTCTTTTGCAGCATGGAGGGTTGAGCCCGGCCTTCACATTGAGTTGCATCCCCAGTCCTGTTTTTAAATTTTATATCCTGAGACAGGGTCTCACTAAGTCTCTAAGCTCGGACTGGGCTCAAAACTTGAGAGCCTCCAGCCTCAGCCTCCCAGAGTGCTGGGATGGTAGACATGCACTACCATTCCTGGATGTTATTTTCACAGAAAAAGATAGTTCTTTGTACAAGAAACCCTGGCTGCAGGTAGGCCCCTCACCCCAGGTGTCCTCAGTGGTGACACTGCTTTCTTCCCTCTCTCTGACAGGGCCACCTGAGTGAGGGGTATGGACAGCTCTGCAGCATCTACCTCAAACTGCTGAGAACGAAGATGGAGTACCACACCAAAGTGAGTCCCTGCGCACCTCGGGGAGTGTGCACCACGTGTCCCAGCCATATGGAGGCAATAGGGCAGCTGCAGTCAGGCCCAGGTGGTACAACAAGGGGATAGACAGGGCTTTGACCTGTGTACTCTGCACCTCCCATTCGCTTTCATAGTGGAGAACCCACATCCACCAGCTTGCCTTGGGGAGACATCACTGCCGCCCTCATTGCACTGCTAATAACAGTTCCTAATGAATATCCACATCAAACCTACTTCTCATCTAGGTCCGACTTGGTCGGTATCTCTGCATCCCTCAATGCAAGGAAACTGCTGGGGACCAGAGGGTGCACAAGCTAAGGAACCAAGGTCTGCTTCTAGGACTTCACAGGGCCGTGAAGTGGGAGAGGCTCACACTCTCCTTGGCCTGTAACAGCACGATGCCCTGGGTCAGGAAGAGCTGGTCCTTGTGACCTCCAGCCAGGTGCAAATCAGGTAGAGCAGAGGAGCCACCATGTGAGGGAGAAAACAGCTTGAGGCAGGGAGAAAATGGAGAAGGGAAGAGACAGAGGACATGCACTCGTGTTGGGGTCTTTGCGGGGGGCAGGGGGGCAGATGCTGGGAATTGAACTCATGACTTTGCACTTGCCAGGTAGGTGCCTGTGCTGTTAAGCTAAATCCCTGGTCCTCGTGTCTTTATCTCTCCTCTCTATGATGAATGTGAAGGGTACTTCTGACTCATTAGCACTGCTGTCCTCTGTTAACCTATTTGGACATCGTCTCATCCTTACAGCAGCAGCCATGTGGCATAGGTGTCATGTCTTGGGAAATGCTGTGTGGAGAGTGGTTGAGTCCCACAGCCCCTCATAGAGCTCCTCAGTGGTGAAGCAGGGATTCAAACGTAGGCTTGTTGAACACCACAGACATCCTGTGCCCTATGGTTACTCCTCCTCACTCCATACATATTGCTCAGTGGGCACCATGGGCCAAAACTAGGAGGCTCTAAAGAGAGACCTTGACCTCTAGTTTGTCTGGGAAGGAGAGGGGGTGGACAACAATAGCAGGAGGCAGGGCCTCTCTTGGCTGGAACTGGGCCTGGGCCTGGGCCAGGAGGGTCAAAGGCACAGCTGAGTCCAGCTTGAGGGCAGTGGTCATCTGTGCTGAATGGTGCTTTGCACCACTGTCCTCTGGTTGCTGCTAGTACTGAATCCAAGCAGGCCTGAAGGGGTGAGAATATAGGAGCAGAGGTTAGAGATGGAGATGAGCAGGACTGGAGACCCCTGGCCTGGGGTCCTGGAAGAACAGTGCAGGTATCCTGTGCTCATGTGTCCTCTATCTGTCTAGCTTCTAGCCATATGCAAGTGCCCAGTCCAGATTGGCTGAGTGATTGACAGGATGGAGGCCCAGAGAGGGGCAGTCCTGGTGACGGAAACAGGCTGGCCCTTCTCCTTTGATAGCGGAAAGAGGGAAGGAAGCAGAAACACTGGCGCTGGGAAGGGAGTGGGCAGCAGGGCTTGAGGTTTCAAGCTGAGGGCAGCAGCAAAGGGTGGGACCTGGGTATGAGAGTGGAACTGGTACCAACAGCCAGGGGCACAGGCAGGGGATCCATGGCAAGGACTGTTACGGAGCACTGTTCCAGACTGAATGTGCCCCCCACATTCATATATTGAAATCCCAACCCCCAGGGTGAGGGTTAAGGGTTTTAAGGTCATAGGTCATGAGGTCATTTCTCTTTATCTCATGAGGGACAAGGCAGAATGCTGCTCTCACCAGGAACCAGATCTGCCAGCACCTTGACCTTGGGCCTCAAAAACTGAGAAATCAATGCCTGTATTCAGCCCGAGCTGATAGAAATGTATGTGAAGGCCAGAGAGTACAAATGAATAGTGACACCAGCTGTGAACCCTTCTGTGGGGACATTTAGCAGCAGGTCTTAGGTGTAGAGTGTGTGATGAGCATCCAGGCCCAGCAGGGTTTAGTGGCAGTGTGGCAAAGATGGCTGCTTAGATGGGTGGGGAGTGTGAGGAGGACCAGGCCACTAGCCCTACGTCTTGATGGAGCAAGGAAGCAACCAGAAGGGAGCAAAGGAGGCTGGAAGAACAAAGGACAGCGAGGATGAGCCTCAGCTGTTGCGGCAGAATGAAGCACGCAGTGGAGAGGTCTCCAGAGGGACAGTTCCAGGTGATATAGCCAGAGTGATATAGCCAGAGTTCCAGGGTGTCTGTAGCCAGAGGTATTAGAATTGTACAGGCAAAGGTCCTGACCACAGTATACAAGACCCAGCTGCCATGAAGGAAGGGTGGGACCTAGCTGCCAAGGACTTGGGTGAATGTGATGTAGTGACCAGAAGGTGAGCCATGTTCATGGAGCAGAGAAACGTGGGGAACCTGAGGAGTGAGCGCAGCCCCAGCCTTGGTAGGCAGAGTGGTGAAGGCTGAACACCCACCCCTGAAAGACACCACAGTCCTTTTCAGGGCAGAGATGAGGCTGGAGGCGTCTCTGAAATCCCAAGACAACAGCAGGTTGAAGAGAGGCTGGCTGGGAGCCCTGCATGTGGGTACCTGACACCCAGGATGGTGTGGGTGGGTTGGCATGAAGGTCCCCAAAGATGCCAACAGTTCGGGTGGAGGAGGGAATATTGTGGCCCCACTCACAGGATGCAGGGGGAAGTGGAAGCCAGAATCATTTATCTGCTGCTTCCTGTGGCCTGGGCCTTCCCTGCCCATGGAGCAGCTGCCAGCTAAGACTTTCTGGTAGAAGGATGGAGGAGGGGACTTCCAAACTTTGGAGACCCAGCTATCCACTTCCAAAAGATGGAAAGTGGAGACAAGAGGTAAACTGTCAGAATAGTTCAAGGGTGTGTGTGTGTGTGTGTGTGTGTGTGTGTGTGTGTGTAGCCTGGCATGGATCCCAGGGCGTCATGTCTGCTTAGCAAGTGCTCTGCCACTGAGCTCCACTCCCAGCATCTGGGCCAGGGTTTTAAGGCCCAGCAGGCTTGTGGTGCCAGCTGGCAGAAACCTGGTACCTTTGTGTGCTTTGCATAGACAGATGAGCTTGTGGCTATAGTTGCACAGATTAACTATGAAGAAGTCACCTTGCCCGGTGTGCCCACACCTACAGCGGTACTGGGTCTTGCTAATCTCTCCCAAGGAAAATAATTCACAGATCAATTCCAGCCTCACTATGACAGGTCATTGCACAAATTCCTCCTCCATGCCTGCTGCCTGCAGCTCTAAGCTGCTATGGGTCTTGCACCCAGTTGGCCCGCTGTTTCACTCTGCACCCAAAAGCCACCCAGGTTTTTTACCCAGAGGGACCCAAGTCCATACTACAGCTCCAGGCTGACCTGCCTGTCAACCCAATCCCAGGGTCCTCAGTTCCCAAATAGGACCACTTCCTGCTTGTGGGCTGCTGTGAGGAAGGGAGGAGGGTGCCTGGTGGTTACGCAGTGTCCTGTGCCTTTTGCGCCTGCCCTCCTGGTCCTACTCCCCATTGTGCTGCCATTACCATACTTCCTGGCCCTAAAGTCCACTTTCCCAACTGGTCAGTCACCCAGAGCCTGATGAAAACCCACAAATGTAGCCTTGCCTACAGTCTCAAATGCAATGGGTCTGCCAGACGCCTGAGAATCTACATTGCTAACACTTTCCCTAGGGCCACACTTAAAGAACCACTACGTGAGCTTGGGCTAAGTAAGGAAAGATGATGGCCCCCTACTGCCTCCCTCTTGCCTCTCAGGGTTCCTGTCTCAGAGCATTCACTCTAGAGTTCGCTGGCCACCCATCTGTTACCTACACCTTTGTCCTGTGGCTCCATTGACTCCAGATAAACCATGTGGACAAAAAGAGTGTAATATAATATACTATTTCTCTCAACTTTGGGTGTGTATTGTGTGACTTTGCCTGCCTTCTAATTTCACTAATTATGTTTTGCAAAACTGAGAAGAGAATTGGTGTCTCTTGAGCTCAGCAGCAGCTCCAAGAAAGGGCAAAGGATAGTGGGAAACCAGTATAGGAAGTAGAATGGACCAACGATGAATCAGTGCACTCTGCTGTGTGAACAGTAGATGACCAACAATGACCACTGTCCCCTGTGGGAGTTCATTGTACTGTGGAGAGAGACTGCAAGAAGGAGCCCTCTCTTGGCCCAGAGCGGTCACACAGAACAGATGTTCTTTGCTGCGAGCCAGTCACGGACTGTGTGTGTAAGGTCGTGTGAACTGACCCCACCTGCCCGAGCAAGGTATAGATGCCTTTAGGTGTGTCTGGTGCATGCACTTGGTGTAGACAGCTTTCAACTTTGGCTTTGTTGGGCTCCAAGAAAACTCCTCACGTGCCCTGTCCTGACCTCTTTTCTCTGCTCCATTCTAGAATCCAAGGTTCCCAGGCAACCTTCAGATGAGTGACCGACAGCTGGATGAGGCTGGAGAAAGTGACGTCAACAACTTGTAAGCAGTGACCCTCATGCTCTGGACCCAGTGGGAGAGAAACTTGATTTTGTCACTTCCTGTTAGGATCTTAGAGGGAGGGCCTGATGGCCAGTGCAGAGGGTGGTTAGAGACAAAAACCACTCAGTGACATGGTCATGGGGTCACTTACTGCTGATACCACATCCAGAGCCTCTGCCTGTCTCATATGCCAGGCTTCCCTGTGTCACTCTCTGCACACCCAACCAAACACCAGTGCCCATCTTTCGTTACCTTTGCCATGCACTGTGGATTCTGTCTGGCTTGATCTAGTGGTCTTACTACCCATGAGGCTAGGAGCTAACTATTGAAGCTAGGATGTCCATGTGTGCTTGTACTTGTGCTCATCCGTATGCAGTGGGGGATGAAGTAGGAGTATGGGGTGGGGTGCGGTCACCAGGTGAAAGACTACAGGCCATGGCTTGGTGTTAGAGTGAGCAGCATTCAAGAGGCCCTGGGTCTGATCACCAGCAACACGCACACAAACATACCCACCTGCCTCGGGCCTGTGGAATTGACATCCTCTCTCTTCTTTGGTCCAGTTTCCAGCTAACAGTGGAGATGTTTGACTACCTAGAGTGTGAACTCAACCTCTTCCAAACTGGTGAGTCTCTTGCCTCCATCGCCTGGTTCCAGCTGGGTTCCCCAATTGGCACAGCTGGCACAGCTCTCACCCTGCTGTCACTGTGCACATGAGTGAGTTTGTTCACAGTTGTCTCTGCCACCTCGTTCCTCATGCCACGAAGGGATGAAGCTGCTATGTGTTTTCAAACCTGATAGTTTCATCATATTAGACAGGCCTCGCTCCCAAGGCCCGGGTCTCTGAGATCCTACAGATAGGTCTCACCTCTCTGACATCTGCAGTCTGTGACCGCAGCCCAGGCAGTCCTTTGCCTCGTTCTTGTCTCATCAGAGCTGAGGTCTTCCTCAGGTTTCTGCTCAGCATGTGTGGCTTATGTCTGCCTTTTAGTTGACAGCCAGGTCCCCAGGGGCAGCCCATGAAGACCTGCTTGACTGGCAGGGGCAGCTGTTGCCCTGCCAGGCTCCCTTCTGCAGAGGCTTCAGGTACTTCCTGACGCTTAGCTACTAATACTTCCCCACAAGCCTTGGCCTCTGCCATCTCTGCAGCATCTCTCTTCCCCTCGCCTTCCAGCTGGACTCTGCTCCTTTCCCTAAGGGACATAGGTAGTGCAAGTCCTAAGATCCACAGTGTTTCTAAATGGGTCTGACTGGAGGAGCAAGTTGCACACTGTGAGCATTCTTGCACATGCTAGGTAGCCTCTTGTTTGCACGTGTAAACTGTTGGGCTTGGGTTGTCTTGTCCTGAACTGCTTTTGCCTTGAGTGTGTTTAGCCATGCAGCAAAAACCTCTTGCAGGTGTGTCCTGTTGCAGCACTGGTTGAGGCCTACGACAGTACACAAGTTCCCTAATACTTCAGCCAATTAGTTCAGTACAGAATATGGGCAGAGGAGCACCAGAAACGGTGGGAAATTCTGAGTTGTGGAAAAAAAGAAGATAGCAGGCTGATGGTATTGTATTTGAGCAGAACCTTATGTACAAATCAGTAAAAAGGTGCAGTGTCTCACACCTGTAATCCTGGTACTCGGGAGACTGAGGCAGGAGAATTGCCATAAGCTAGCCTGGGCCATATAGGCTGGTCCTTTAGTGAGACCCTCTTTCCAAAAATAAATAAATAAATAAAAATAAAAGTCAATAAATATGTAAGAATAAAATACAGATTATGTGTGGGATGGGCTCAGCCCTATACCATTCCCAGTCAGGTAAGAGAAGCGGTGTAGATGCAGCCATTGTTCTTTTATAATGTGTTGGAAGTACTTGCACAAAAGAATTTGAGCAGAGCTAGGCACAGTGGTGCATGCCTTTATTCCTAGCACTTGGAAGGCTAAGACAGGAGAATCCCAAATTTGAGTCCCACATAGGTAACTAAGCACAGACCTTGTCTCAAAATACTGTAAAAGAATAAAAAGAGTGGGTATGTAGCTCAGTACCAAGACTCTGGGTCTAATCCCCAATACCTCCATAAAGAAAGCGTGAATGAAGGCTGAGTATGTAACGTGACCACAGATGGCCGCCCAACTTACAATGGGTGGATTCGGGTTTTCTAGCTTTTGTGGTGGTGTGAAACATACCCATGCAGCCAGCCTGTTTTCACTTTTCTCTTTTCAGTGTTAAGTGAATTACATGAGCCAGTCAGCTTTTTGTTTATTTGTTTGTTTTTGCCTTTTTGATACAGAGCTTCACTCTGCAGTTCAGGCTGGCCTTGAACTCACTTTGTAGCCCAGCCTAACCTCAAATTCACAGTGATCCTCTTGCTTCAGCCTCCTGAGCACTGGAATTACAGGTGTGCACCACCATGTCAGGCCATAGTCACCATTTTGTATAAAATAGGCTTTGCATTAGATAATTGTGCCCAACTCTAGAGTAATGTAAAAGGACCCTTCACACACTCACTAATAGCCCAAACTGAGCTGGGATGCACTATAGGTCACATGTATTAAACATGTTTGCCTCACCATATTTTATTTATAATGGATTTAACTGGGATACAACCTCATCGTAAGTTGAGGAGCATCTGTATTTAAATTGATTACAATTAAATAACTCTTAAAAGTCAAGTCCTAGCTGGGCACAGTGACACACACCAATACTCCCAACTACTCAGGAGGCTGAGACCAGAGAATTGTAAGTTAATGGCCAGCCTGAGAAACTTAGCAAGTCTTCATCTCTGAATAAAAATCAAAAGGATTGGAGGTGTAGCTCAGTGGTCAAGCACTTGCCTAGCATGTGTGAGGCCCTGAATTCAATTCCAGTAGCAGGAGAAAAAAGTCTGGTCACCAGTTGCACTAACCATACTTCAGATGGGCACATACTGAGAGCATTTCCATCATCACAGGAATCTACCTGGAGGATTCTGATGCATGCTAAAGCTTGACAGCTGCCAAGCTAGTGGACAGTCTCCAGCCCAGGTTGCATATTAGAATCACAGAGGAGTCTGGAAAGTACCTAGGCCTCAACCCTACTGCACACCAGTTCAAACGCAGTGGAGGTGTACGGAGCTGCAGGTAGACACCAGGCATGTTGCTGTATCCCCTCGTGGTCCTGATGAACCTCAAGATCAGAAAGCCCTGCACAGCACTCGGCTTCACATTGACAACAAATCAATTTAAATACAGATTCTCATTGGTCTCACGGAGGCTTATGCTCCTGTGACCACAGGCTCAGAGAGGTTGAGTTACTTTTCAGCAGCCATCCTGCTGTAGATGGTGCTAGGTGCTAAGGGACATCCCTGGAATACGTTGGAAAAGCAGCTAGCATCCCAGAAGATGGAGCAGGCTGTGGTTTCTTGCCAGCATGGAGCATGAGGAAGCCGGGAGACACGGATGGCTGCCTTGCAGTGACAGCTGCTCTTAATTTGTCTAAAGAAGAAAAGCTGCCTTTTAATTAGAACCATTTGAGGTTTTTTTTTTCAGCTGCCAGACTAACCCTGTTACATGGAGGCTGGGAGACACAACATGTGCAACTCTCGGTTTCCCTCCAGCAGCTCCTCCCTCAGGGGCACCTCAGGGAAAGTCATGTCTTTGCTTGCCATGCATAGAGTCCCCAGGGACAGTGGGCAGCTGGTGCAAGAAGCCCCAGGGGTGAGCTGAGGGTCTGCAGCCAAGCATTCAGTTGCTAGGCCCAGGGACTGTGGCAGGGGCTGACTGTGGAGGAATTTCAGGAGCAGCAAGAGAGTAAATAGCAGCATTTCTCTTGACAGCTCCCCCAGCGCCTGGATCAGTCGTGAGCCCAGTAGGTCATCTCCCAAGCCCTTTTCCTTGGCCCTCAAGGGCTTTCCAGTTGTCACCCAGGGCTCCTGAATGTGTCCCCCATCTTCAGTGCCCTGAGAGCCTAGTGGCAAGCCACAGCCAAATGATTCCCTTTTTTCTCTGATCCATGTCTGATACTCTTGCCACATATGAACTACTAGGATTGGCGGATTTGGTACTTCCAAAGTTTAAGGGGTTACCATCAGATTGCATTCATGCATGGACTCAAAATAGGCAAAATGGACTCTTAAACCAGGCTCTATCAGCAGTATTCTGAAGAAACCAGATTGGCTGGCTCCATAGCTCCTTCCTACCCTGAAAGTCTGGCTCCCCATAACCCTGAGGGCTGTCCTTGAACAGTAATCCATCTGCCCTTAGATCAGAAACTCTTATTAAGTAATGTGTTGGGTCCAAGGCTGGAGACTTAGAAAGCTTCTCATAGACAAAAAAGAAGGGAATCTCCCAGAGTAGTTGCTCTCCCAGCTTGCGAGCAGATCCCATCTTTTCCTGGGCTGTCACACAGGGCTCTAAGCAGAGTAGAGTCTTGCTCACCTGTTTATGACACACCTGGCATCTGGCCTCTCTTTAGCAAAGGCACTGTTAGACCATTGGTGGACTCTGGTGAGTCTTTGTCTCAGCTGACCACTTCGTGGCTTTGTGACTGCCTTCGAGTGACTCAAATTCTATTTCTACACCTGTGTAGTGTGGATACCTTTCCTGTCTCAGGAGGGTTGTAACAGTTAAATGACTTACACTAGAAAATGTATGTACTCAGTGTGTGCTGGGCCCCACCTCTGCAGAGCCCCTATAATTGCCTTGCCCTACTTCTTTTCTCCCCCTTTTGTTTCCCAGTATTCAGTTCCTTGGACATGTCTCGCTCTGTGTCAGTGACAACAGCCGGGCAGTGCCGCCTCGCCCCATTGATCCAGGTCATCCTGGACTGCAGCCATCTCTATGACTACACTGTCAAGCTTCTCTTCAAACTCCACTCCTGTGAGTACTCAAGATGCAGCCTCTTCATGCATCTTGGGCTTTGGGGAGATTGCAGCCTAAAGATGGCGCTGGAGCAGTGTATCCCCTCTCAGTACCCTCGGCTTTCTGCTTCTGGCACAAAAGGTGCTGGAGCTCCTGGCCACTGTGAGAGCAGGGCTGAAACTTTTACGTCTGCCAGCTGGTCCTCTGCTCCAGCACCACCATTCATTCCTCAAGGCACCATTCCTCAAAGCTGTGGTATATTCTAGGATCCAACAAAAGCCTGGCTACACCTGCGTGAGCTAAGGCAGCGATCAGCTAGCTCCATACAGATGGACTTTGATGCAAAAATAGGAAATGTGGAGCTGCTCAATAAATGGAGAGCTGACTGCTGGTCCCTAATGATTGTATAGAGATTTCTATATTTTATGCGCATCCTGTTTAAAATGATGTGTCTGGGCTAAACTCCCTGCTTTAGGATGTCCCTTGTAGGATCTGTGTCATTAGTGTACATTGCCATATAAATCTGACAAAGGTGGCACTTGAACCACACTCAAGGCAGCCATGAAGAGTATACTCACGTGGAGATGTGCATGATGCAAAACCAGGAAACACCAAGACTTAGATGAGTACAATAAAAGGTTCACAGCACTCAAGGGACAGAGCTATGCTTTACAAGAATGGGAGTGGGGGGAGAACAAGGGCTGCTCCACTGCTGTGGCCACTGGCAAGTAATGAATGCGGGTATCTGATGAGACAAGGGGAGCAGCATTTGATGGATCCAGCCAGGAAGATTAGGATTTGCCATTCAGGGATTAGAGAGGCTTTGGAGCAGTGGGTGTGCCTGGAGGGAGTGGAGAAGATGCGCCGAATACCTGGAAGAGGGAGACAGTTTCTGCAGTGCTGTAGACCGTAGCCATGCAGCAGGAGAGCACTGGTTTCCTGCAAGTTGGTGAGTTTTCAGAAGAGGCGAGTAATTGCTTAGATTAAAAGGCTTCTCTAAAAGCAGAGCGGTCCATGAGAGCCACACTGCTGGCCTCTGGGCAGGGGAACTGTGCAGCTGGGAGAGGGTAAGGAATACCAGACAGTACAGGTCCAGTGTCCCTTATCCAAAGTGCTTGGGGCCCAGAGGGTTTGGAATTTCTCAGGTTAGAATGTTTGTACAGAGTTTCCTGGTTTAGTGTTCTTAATACAAAAATCCAAAAGCTTAAAAAGATGTGGATTTCAGACCATTTTAGTGTCAGCATTTTGGATTTCTGATTTTCAGATAAGAGATTCTTTAAAAATAAACATTTTTGTTTCAGATATATAGAAGAGTAAGGCAATACAGAGAATTCCTATATACCCAATATCCATTTCCCCTCTTGGTTCTGTTGGTTTGTTTGTTTTTTGTTTGTTTTGAGATAGTTTTGTATGTAGTTCATACTGGCCTTGAACTCACTAGTAGCCCAGGCTGGCCTCAAACGCACAGCACTCCTCCTGCCTCCGCCTCCCAAGTGCCAGGATTATAGGTGTGTGCCACCATGCCTGGCTTGTTCACATTTTAGTGTGACATTTGTCACAACTAATGAACTAGTGTATCTGTGCTTTATTCAGATTTTCAGTTTGTTTGGTTTGTTTTTGTTTTGTTTTGGTACCAGGTATTGAACTCAAGGCCTTGCACTTGCCAGGCAGGAGCTTATGGCACTAAGCTGTATATCCTTGGCCCTGTTTGTTTGTTTTTTAATTAGTGGGATTTCCACAGTTTTCTGTCCTAGGGCCCCATCCATAGTACCACACATTTAGTCATTTTGTCTTTTTCGACTGTGGCATCTTCTTAGATTTTCTTTGTTTTTGATGAAGATTTTGAGTGCTGGTCAAATTTTTCTGTAAAATACCCCTCAATTCTGTTTTTTCTGACACTTTTCTCATGATATGAATGTGGTTAAAGATTCTTAGGTGAAAGTTCCCAGAGATAAAGTGCCATTTCGATGTACTATCTACCTCTGCCATTTAGAATGATCATACCTTATAGATGTACTTTCTGTTTATATAAAATAAATATCACCCTTTCAAAAATAACTAAAATTTAAATTTAAAAACTAAAAGCCAGGCACAAAGCATGCCCCTATCATCCCCTCACTCTGGGAGCTGAGGCAAGAAGACTGTAAGCTTGATCCCAGCCTGAGCAACTTTGCAAGATCCTGTCTAAAAATAAAAAGTAAAAAGGAGCTAAGGATGTAGCTCAACCCCCTGTATAGCAAAAATAATTAATAAATAAAAGAAGAGTTGTGGTCCATAGCTGACATGCACAAACTCTCAGAATTAGGAGGGAAGGGACCTCAGTACTGACTGAGGCCAGTGCTTGTGCAGCATGAGAGAGTTAGCTAATGACCAAGCAGCCCTGGAACCTAAAATGCACATCACACCTGTGCAAGGTCAGGTCATCCCTCTTCTGTGGTCCTGGACATGACTTCTATCTACAGTGCCCAGAGTGGTCCACCCCCAGCAGCAAGCTGACATGGGGTGATTGGCAGCATAGGCCTCACCCACACTCTTGCCCCACACCCCTAGTTACCAGACCTCAGGGCAACTCTTGGTTAGAGGAGACCACAGACCCAAACAGCTGGCCCCGCTCCGCAGCCCCACTGTGGCTTGCCAGCACTCTAGCCCTCCTGGCTCTCACAGTCCTTCCGATTTCCCCCAGGTCTCCCAGCTGACACCCTGCAAGGCCACCGGGACCGCTTCATGGAGCAGTTCACAAAGTAAGTGGCTCAAGCTTCAATTTATTTTTCTCTTGATGACTGTCTGCCTCTCTGGGTGCTCCAGGCCTTTGGTCAGCTTCTCTGTGTTACCCCTGGCACACTTCAGAAAATAGCTACAAGGGTAGGACTGCAGAGGGAAGCCATATTATGACCTACACCTACATGATAATATATCAATAGGTTTATAGCATTTTTCTGAATTTTAGTGCTTTGTAAGCCATTGGAGGAAAAATATCTGTTTCTTCAATCATTAAGCTAGTGAGTTGGATTAATCTCTAAAGTCTTACTCAACTCTAATGTGTTTTCCTCATGAGAGTATAGAAATTTGAAAGTCTCAGCTAACTCAAGCTTCATGATGTTGTCCAGTATTACATCTTTATATTTTATTTCATTTGTTATTTCTCAAAATCCAATGCCTGAAGAGTCTGTATTATAGTAGCAGGAGTTAGGGCGTGGTAAAGTTGGTGACATGACCAAAGACCTGGGAAAGCTTGCTCTTCAGGTCATTGCAATTGTTTGGGAATTCATTGTCAGGCTAAAGAACTCTTTTAGGACCCAGATAAGTTATGCTTTGGAATCATGTTCAGATGATAGTCACCTACCTCCTTAATTTGTAATTTGATTAATCATGGATAAAATGTTTTTCCATGGGAAACTTGTAAGACATAAACACTATTGTAGATTCTAGTATAATGTTGAAGAAGTATATTTTGCTTTCCATTGTCAGTGTAGACTGAATCTCAAACAGATTTTTAAAAGGATATTTGAGATTCTACTTTCTCAATAAAATCAGCATGATCTGTATTCATTTTGCACGTTGATAGATCTTGAGACTTCTTTCGTGACTTGAGTTGAAACTGAGCTTTGTCTGTCTTATTACTTCTTGGGCAGTTTTAGGTACTGTTCTGCTGCTGAGTGGATAGTGCCACACTGCTTAAGAGTGCTGGGGAGGCTGCTTAGATGCTCACTGTTTGTGAAAGAAGACCATGAGGGGCCTTTGTGAGAATTTAGCACCACACCAAGCAGTGCTTTTCTTTACACTGGATAATCTTGGTCAGATGACATGATTTTGAACATTTTTACTATGTATACGTTTTGTAAGCTTTTAAAAAAACTATGATGCGCCTTCAAGAAACTTACATGCAAAACTGCATGTTGCTTTTTCCCCTAAATTTTTTTGAGGGAAAAAATACCACTAGTAATCATCGCTGCTGAGATGGTCAGAAATGATGCTCTTTTTGTTTGGTTTTCTTTCTGGCTACTAAATAAGTAGTGTGAAAGACATAATAAAATAGTTTTGGTCAAAAAAGAAAGTCAAGAGAAATCTCCAATAGTTTGTAGTAGTGTTATTTAAACTTTAATATAAAGTATTTATATATTCCTTATGGGATCTAAATAGTACAAATAATTCCTGGGCCTACAAAGGGTCTGTGGTTGGGGCTAGAATTATACATTCTTATTTTATGGAGCATTTTGCCTGATTCTAGTTCATGTGGTCCCTGGAGCACATTTCTGAAAACCACCTATAGACAATATATCAAATCAAGCAATATCTATTTTGTCTCATAATACTTGTTCTGTATTGAAAATCATTATCTCCTAGTGCATGGATACTCCACATTGGGAGGAAAATTTGTGTATTGTGTCTGATTGGCTGCCATTCATATTAGTGTGGATCTTGCCAGTGTTAGATTTACTTTCTTTTAACCGGCAAAAATTATGATAAACCACATAGTTTCACAGAACAAAAACTGTGAATTAGTAACAGCAAGTCATAACTTTCAGAAGACTAACTGTTCCTATATTTACTTTGTCCTAGAGACATCTCTCTAGGGCATCTCTTGATTATATGTAATTTCTTGGAGAATGTAAGGGAAATGTAAAGAATTTTCTAATTGCTATTGCTCCGCTTATGCCAGTTGTATTTAGTGGAAGCCTGTAATAAAATAACCTTTTTAATCTGTGTGTTTCTGTTGCCAACAAAGATGTCATCTTTTGATCTTTGCTTTTGTTTACATGAAAATGTGTATATATTACAGAAAAGTTTTCACTTGTGTGACATTTTAATCTGTATCATGATTTTTAGTTTAAGTTTAAAAAACTGCTAGATTCAAATTTATCCTCATAATCATAGCCCTACTAAGCCGAAAACTCAGTTTTTAAAATAATAAATAAAAATAACAAAGCAGATGTCTGATATTGGAAGTAAATGATAATAATTTCTTAGGTATCTATTGATACTAATCCTTTATAGTTAAAATTAGTATGTTTTACAGTAGTATCTGGCACATATTTTAAGAATTTTGAATTTTGGGTTGTAATCTTTAAATCTCCAAAAATATGGCTCTTTGTGCATATGTTCTTGTTACAACCAAGGCTCCCAATAAGGAAATGAATAAATGTTGAAAATTTCTACTGTGGAGTTTTTTAAAGTGACTATATCTCATCTAGAAAGTTTGTCATGAATACTACTTTCTGTTAAATTAAAATCTGAATTTCAAAAAAAAGTGTATGGCTCAAGTGGGAACGGAGAGTCAAAACACACGATAAAATCAGTTAATGCACACGAGGGCACAACCCTTAGGGGTGGCAGCATCTGTATTTTAAGGTGATGATATGACAGAAGATGGTTAAGACAGCAGTAAGCCTCCCAGTGGCTAGGAAGTTACCGGGTCATGAGGAAATCCCATAGAAGGATCTAGAAGAGCGGACGGCACCTGTCGCACGTTACCTGCTTTATGTCAGGACAGCCTCTTCTGTGTTCTCGTCCGTGTTCCCTGGTTTGATATCATTTGCCTGCTGACAGTGCCCCAGTGTGTGTCTGCAGTCAGATCTTCTCAGTTCTAGTCTCATGTATCCTTTTTGACACCCATACACCAGATTTCAATCCCAAACTGAACTCTAGGTTTTCCCAACAAACCGTTTTCCTCCCCGTCATCTGCATCCGTAAATAATGTCACCATCCATCTAGGCCGGCGAGCTAAGGCACTGATTCCTGCTCCATGTCCAGTCCCTCCACAGGTTAACTGATGCCTTTTAAGTGCACCTCACTCCATCCACATTTCCATCCTTCAGCTATCACTGCTGCCTGCCGGGCCCCCCAGTACTTTCTGTTCTCTACCATTTTTCTTCCCTCCTCTGCAGTGCGCTTCCTTCCTGGTCGTCTTTTGTCATCCCAGAAAGGCAATCTCAGGCCCCCTTAGTCAAGTCACATTTTTTTTCTGCTGTCTCCTGTTCCTCCAGTTCCATCCTACCTTGTATCCTCAAGATCCCTGTTTGTTGCCCTCAGAAGTTCTTAGCACAATTTTATTTTGGTTTGACCATCTTATCCATTACTATATCCATAGCATCTGACAAACAGCAGTCAGTGAAGCATACAGTGCCTGGTAGACCCTGGAATGAACCAGTGCGCTAATAAGTCAGCGCGGTAGCCTAAGACAAACAGAGGAATGAATCATGCTGGTGCGTTTTAGGGGGAGAATGAGTGACCAGATGAAACGTATGGCCTCTCCCTAGAGTAAGCATCCCAAGAAGAGGGCAGGAATGGAGCAGGGAGCTGCAGAGGCTATCGTGACTTGGCACTATGGGTAGACGTTGACACTGTGGTTTCTCCTTTTAATTTCTTCTTTCTTGAGCACAGCTCCACAAGCCTGAACTTTAGTGTTCTTGCTGGTTCCCCAGAGAAAGCAGCAGCTCAGGGTTGAACAAACCTCCCATCTGCCTCATTCCGTTGGGAAAGCCTGGTACACAGCGGATAATAAATGACTTACTAAGTCCTGGGAGACAGGCCCTGGGGCTGATTTCCTGGAATGTGAAATTCCGGTAGCTTGCAAAAGCAGTGCAGCTTATTACTGTTGGCTCCCGCCCAGGGAGACAGGATATGTGGTCAGCTGGTTTTCTTCCCTTTGGTTTTTTCTAGTGTACAAAAACATCTCCTGTGACTAGCTACCTGCCTCTTTCTTCCACACAGAAGTGGCTGCTATCTGAGGCCTCACTGTCCTTGAATTAAGAGAGAGCAGCAGTGACATCACGGGGACACAGTTAAGCCTTGGCCCTGGGATCTGAAAAACTATAATGAGGTCCCAAGGGCTTTCACAGAGCTAAGCTAGAGAGGAGTCTGTTGCTACGGAGTAGCTGCTGCTATTGGGATCCATAATCCTCTTCATCTCAGAATGTATCACTCTGGGTACTCTCACATTTGTTGGTCTTCAGTGTTTTGATTCAAAAGAGGGATCTGAGAACAAGAAAAAAATTGCATTTGAGGGCTGGGAGTACTATATATGTCAGAAGGAGAGTGCTTACCCAGCATCCTGAGATCCTACATCCAGTATCCAACTCAAGAAAAAAAAAAAGTTAATTTCTTCATATCCACATTCATCTCTAAGATTAGGGCTCAATATAGACAGATGATTCCTCCCTAATAGGTGTCTACAGAGCAACTCCTCCATGCCTGGTTCTTTGATAAGTAGAGTCCCTAAGGGAAGTAAGTCCCTTCAGTCCCTAGAAACCTCTGGTCTAATGGGGAGATGATAGAGCTTGGAAGTCAGGTGGATTCCTTGAGATCTTTTCTTACAGCTTGTCCTTCCCTTTTTTTATGGCTTGTCCTCCAAGAAAGTCGATTTCTGCTGATGTTACTGTAAGCCAGGCTTGCATAGAAAGACAAGTCTGCCAGACATGTGCATGTCCTCAGCAATGAGACATTGGTTTTGGGATCATGAATTACTCTTTCCTCATCACTGGGTAACAGGACTGGCTGTAAATGACCCTGGTCTGTAACATCATAATTGAATTTTGGCACCATGCAGGACATCTCCTTGACATCTGTAACTTTGGGGTGGCCAAACTGGGGGCGGGGGGTGTCCCCTCCTTGGGGCTGCCCAAAACAATCACACTGAGGCCCTTCTCCACCCACAGACTGAAGGATCTGTTTCTGCGCTCCAGCAACCTACAGTACTTCAAACGACTCATTCAGATCCCCCAGCTGCCTGAGGTGAGTGTGCCTGGCCATACCCAGGCCCTGCAGGGTCTCCAGGTCTTCCTCTCTTGAAGGCTGGTGGGTCTTGACATGTGAGCACCAGCTCAGGATATGTGCCCTCTTCAGAACCCACCCAACTTCCTGCGGGCCTCAGCCCTGTCAGAACACATCAGCCCCATGGTGGTCATCCCAGTGGAGGCTTCATCCCCTGACAGTGAGCCAGTCTTAGAGAAGGATGACCTCATGGACATGGATGCCTCTCAGCAGGTGAGAACCCGTGGGAGAAAAATGTGCCCTTCCCATTGCCCCAAGTGCAGGGAAGAGGATGTGTGAGGCCTCGCCCAGGTGTACTGACTTGGACCTTCTCCAGCTCTTTTTTGTGGGTCTCACTGCATTGTGTAGGCTGGCCTAGAACTGCTGGGCTTAAATAATCCACCTGTCTCAGCCTTTCACGTAGCCAGGACTATAGATACACATCTGTGCATCCAGCTTTATTCAGTCTTCTGTTAACCAAGCATGAATGGAGGGATCACAAATGGGTCTGCAGCTAGTCATTGCTCATCTGACCACTTGCAGAATTTTCTGTGTCTCTGACTTGCTCTCCTCCTTTCTGGTCCCTGCAGAATTTATTTGATAACAAGTTTGATGACATCTTTGGCAGCTCATTCAGCAGTGATCCCTTCAATTTCAACAGTCAAAATGGTGTGAACAAGGATGAAAAGTGAGTCCATCCTGGGTTCAAGCACATGGTACAGATAAATTAATATGATCACAACAAGGTCATAATTCAAATACTTCATTTCTGGGCAGCTTGAACCACTGGTGATACATATATGACTATCCCATTGGGTGGATTTTTTTAATTTGATTAGTAAAAAGACTGATAAAAGTGATTAGATCCATTTGGGCCACTGGTGATATAAGCTGGTCTATGGGACAGTCATTCAGGTCCCACTCGTGGTTCAAACTGCAGCAATTTTGTTTACCACAATCTGCCTTCATAGCACTTACTGTAAAGGAATTCTTAATACCACATAAAGAATGTCTTGGGGCTGGGGGTTTGGCTCAGCGGCATAAGCGCAAAAAAAAAAAAGAATGTCTTGACCCTCAAATTTCACTATGATATACCTGTGGGTATTAGATTAGGGAACACTTAAGGAACAAATTGCCCCTCAGTATCTGGGGAGGGCTGAATCCAGAACCCAAATCCCTTATATATCCCACTTGCATAGAACTTACGCTCATCTCCCAAATGCTTCAGATCATTCCTAGATGACTTGCCAACACTATGTGAATAATCCTTAGGCTATGGGACATTTTCCCCAAATATTTCCAGCCTGCAGTTGATTAAATCCACAGATACAGAATCTGCAGCTATAGAGTCATCTGTATAATTTATAGTGTTGAAAAATTGTCCCCAAATGAGCACCAGCTTTTAACTTTCTCACCCAGTCCCCCAGCTCGCATCTAGAAGGCCCAGTGGAAGCAAACACGTTCTCCTCCTCTCCCCAGGGACCACCTGATCGAGCGACTGTACCGAGAGATCAGCGGGCTGAGAGCCCAGCTGGAAAGCGTGAAGACTGAGGTGTGTGCTGGGCCTCCTCTGCTTCGCACTTCGTGTGATAGGTTTTAACATTTCTAGGTGTCTTTCGTAGCTACATCCAGGGCAGGTTAATTAGGAGAAATGCCAAAGCCAAAAGAACCTCCTGTGGCATCCATTAGAATTCATTTCCATGACGTGTCCCTTTGGACAGCAGCTCGGCCAGGTGCTAGCGTCTCCAGTAGCCATGGTCACTACCTGCCTAGGAGGTGTGCTGCCAGAGTCCAGTTTTTCTCACTCGGCCTCACAGAGAGTTTCGTTTGGGACTGTGGTGGCTGTTTGTTGCTTCTGGTGCACTGTATGATATGTGACTGGAAAATACAGTGTTTTTTTTCCCCCTTTTAATTTACGCAGTGAAAGACATTGCTATGAATCCCACTCAGGATACTTTTCCTGTCTTCAAACACGCCCTGTCCCATCATTCTTTCCACCTTCTGAAGCAGTTCTGGAAGCATTCTTTCGTGTCACTAGTTGCACTCTCATGGCTGCCTTCTGTCCTTAATCAGTTAAAAACGTTTTCCTTCCATGGTCATTTTGTTTTTGAGGAAGAGCCAGAAGTCACATGGTACCAGATCTGGTGACTAAGGTGGAGGAGGGCACACCAGCCAGATTTTACAAGCCTGTCTGTGTTAAGTGACACTAGGCAGCAGCAGCATTCACCTCATAAACAAAAAAGAGGATTTCCAGAACTGTTCCGCACAGTGGCAGAAAGGATGAGTGAGCTTGAAGCAAGGAGGATTAATGGCAATGTGCCTTTGACTGTAATAAATGTGTTTAATTTAATTAATTTTTAAATTTAATTTGATTACAACTCAAATGTGCCTATGCCTGAAAGCTGTTCTGGTCAGAGGACTTGACCCTTGGGACCAGGCCAGCATCCTCTCCTTTCTCTGCCCAGATCGCCCAGGGCTATCCCCAGGACTGTTGGTGGTTTGAAATAACCAGAAGGCTCAACTCTCATGAGACCTTGGGTGCTAGCTGATTAAGAAACCTTCATATTTATAGCTATCCCTTAGTATCTATAGGGGCCTGTTTTAGGGCACACTGTAGATACTTAAAACCCAAGTACACTCAGCTCCTTTATCTGCCCTGGTATGCTGTTTGCATAGAACCTTGACACGTCCTCCCACTGGAGTTTAAAACATCTGTAGGCACTTTTACCTAATATGATGCATTTCATGGATAAGGAACCCATGGATACCAAGGCCAACTACTTAGTCAGTGTCATTGTCCTGCCCAGCACTCCAGTCCATGGCTGGCAGTGGCAGACCACTCACTTGGGTCCCTCTCACAGAGCCAGCGGGCCATGCTGCAGCTGAAGGGCCGCGTGAGTGAGCTGGAGGCTGAGCTGGCCGAGCAACAGCACCTGGGCCGGCAGGCAGCTGATGACTGCGAGTTCCTCAGGGCAGAGCTGGACGAGCTCAAGAAGCAGCGGGAAGACACGGAGAAAGCGCAGCGGAGCCTGACAGAGATAGAGAGTGAGAAGGGTCGAGGCTGGGCCTGAGGGCAGGGGCTGGGCAGGCTCAGGACAAGGAAGTGCTGCCAGGAACACCAGCTCCTGTCACTGGACAAAGGGACAGACTTGAGGGCGGCAGATACAGAGTCCTACGGGCCCATGGAGGCAGGAACTACAGAGGTGACAGTGGGGTAGCTGTCCTGGGCAGAGGACTCTCAAAGAGAAAGGAAGCAGGATGGAGGTGTGAGGAGAAAAATCAGCCTAGAAGCTGAAAACCCCAGTGACAGGAATGTCCCATACAGAAATGCCGAGAAGACACAAATTGGAGGAAGGATTTTAGTCAGGTACATTCTTTTTGTTACTGTTTTTTGTGACTTCTCAGAGAAGTCTCTATGAGTAAGAAGAGTTTGGAGGGAGAAGAAGGTCTGTATCCTACTGGAAGGAGGGCAGAGGGTCCCAGCCCAGGGCAACACCTCACCTCAGTCCTTGACGATGCAGGGAAGGCCCAGGCCAATGAGCAGCGGTATAGCAAGCTCAAGGAGAAGTACAGCGAGCTGGTTCAGAACCATGCTGACCTGCTGCGGAAGGTAGGACCTTGACCCCTCTCACCTTCCCGCAGACCCAGCACCACAGGGGAAACAGCAGCACCCCATTTCTTGGGAACTTCAGCTCCGCAAGCCCCCTTTGCCTTCCATATCTTGAGCTCTATCTTAGGTGCCAGCCCCTCGTAGGACCACCCACACCATCTTTGTTATTTTTGTAAATACTACAGTGCAGTATCTGAAGGTTGTGGCTGGATTCTGGTGTCCCTGTGGGCAGGAAAACCACTGGTGTGTCCAACTCTAGGCACTCACAGTCTGAATGTGGTCATTGGGTCTAGAAGGAAGATATCCCGTGAGCCTGAGAGATACCAACCCAAGATGCCGTTCTTCCTTACAGAACGCAGAGGTGACCAAACAGGTCTCCATGGCCAGGCAAGCCCAGGCAGATTTGGAACGAGAGAAAAAAGAGCTCGAAGATTCCTTTGAGCGAGTCAGTGACCAGGCCCAGCGGAAGGTAAGTGGAAGGAGAAGGACCTTGGAGATGGGGGGAAGGTAGTCCTTGAAAGGACTGTCATTCTTCTCCATGGGTGGTCCTGAGAGCGTGTGTGAGGACAGCAGCAGGACATGGTCACGGGTGTGTGCACAATTTATTTGGGAAGTAATGACAGGACCCCAGGGATTCATCGGCCAAAGCTTCCCTAGAACAAGTCTTGAAGGGACATTTGAGGAAGGAAAAACAAGAGTGGAACACATACTTACAAAGATTTGCAGGCAAGAGAAGATTGCTATGTTGCTGTTGGGTTGGCAAGTGGTGGAGTAAGAGAGGTCAGACGGATAAGACCAAGTGTCTGAGACTTAGAGGAGTGACCTTTGCACTGTGACCCAGAGTAGAAAATACATCTACCTACTGGAAGTAAACATTTCATCAGATAATAATTACTCTTCCTGTTTGATGCTTTTGGATAGTTTCAATTCCATGTAAGCCATTTTTTAGTGTTAGCTGTGAATTCATAATGGTTGGTGTCCTGCTCTTTGAAAAATACCCCTTGGAAAAGAAATCAAAGAAAGAGCGTTTTATCAAGGTGGTGAGATGTTGTAGTCAGCAGTGTTCTAGGTGTTGGGCCCTGTGGGTGGTGCATGCCTGTAATCCCAGCACTCAGGAGACTGAGTCAAGAAGATGACCATGAGTTTGGGGCCAGACTGGTAAGTCAGACATAGTAAGAAAAAAAAAATACACAAACAAAAAAACCCTAGTATTGTAGGTTTTGGGATGATTAAATCACAGACCTTAGTCCATACTGCAGGCGCTTTTGTAACATTCCTCTTTGCCAGAAGAAAAGTCACTGGTGCAGTCTAGGGCATCATCTCCTTCCATTCTTTTGTTAGGGTGCAACTTCATATAGCAGAGCACAGAATCTCATGTCAGTAGTTGGGGGGACTTTAGCATTCGTTTCTCCCTTCTAGCCATCACCCCGCTCAGAGCCCTCCTTTGTTACTTTTCCAGACCCAGGAACAGCAGGAAATTCTAGAGAGCTTAAAGCAGGAACTTGCTACCAGCAGGCAGGAGCTGCAGCTCCTCCACAACAACCTGGAAACTTCTGCCCAGGTGAGCCGGGCCCCCTGGCGCCCTCTCAGACATCAACCTCACCAGCCCCAGCTTCCTGCCTTGGCCAGGTTGCTCCCGTTGTGATCACTGCGCAATGAGAGCAGCAGGTAGAGGAAATGTCACCCACTGCTCCTTGGTGCCAGGAGGAGGATTTGGACCTCTGGGAGGGCAAAGTCTGGTTTTCTCAGCATCTCCTTTCCATGCTGTTGCCATTATAGTCAGAAGCAAAATGCATGGCGCAGATCATGGAGCTGGAGAAGCAGCGGGACAGCCTGGTGACCACCGCAACGGGTCGGGAGGAGAAATTGTCAGCCCTGCAAGAGCAGCTGGAATGCTCCCAGCTCAAACTGGCCAGCGCACAGGCAAGTGCAGGATGCTCGCTCAGACTCACCTGATGGGGGTCAGTGTTCGTGGAGCTGGGGGACACAAAACAGGTTGGAGCCATCAGCCTGGTTGCCAGGGCCCTGTCTGGGTATAGTTCCTTGTGCCAGCCAGTGAGCAAAGGTAAAGCGCCTGTTTTCATTTATGAGCAGAGAAGCACTTGGGATCGTCCCTAGGTGTGCAGAGTGAGTGGTCATAACCCCACCCACCGCTTCCTGTGGTCCATTGCACACACCTGTGACCTGTATTCAAGTATACTTTTGTGTTTCAAGCTCACTGGTTTGGACCTCTTTTAAGACAACCTGAGCCAAGAGCCCAGGGATATCAGTAAGACCCCAGGTGGATGCTGCTTGGGCTTAGGAAAGGGTCTAGAGCAGACTCTCACCTCCCTGGGCTGTTCTAGGAGTCTATGTGCCAGCTCGCCAAGGACCAGCGGAAGGCGCTGCTGGCGCAGTCCAGGAAGGCTGTGGAGCGCATGGTGCAGGAGGCACTGAGCCAGCTGGAGGAGCCCACACTCATCAGCTGTGCGGGGTCCACAGGTACTGTCCCCTTCTCAGCTGCAGGTCACATCCTCACAGCCTGCTGTGTGCGGTTAGTATTGGGTCCCCAGTGATGCTTTGCTCAAGAGCTCCAGCCCAGTTGCCCGTCAGCGTCCCTGAGGCTGCCCAGATCCCATCTTAGCTCAGTCACGTTAGAGTTATGTGGTAGGGCCTAGGCAGCTGTGCTGTCCTTGAGCCCAGAGTGTGATAATCACAGTTTTCCTCAGTTGCACTGTAAGAAGGACCTGAAACAAGTGTGAAAACTGAAAAAGGCGTGGACAGCTCTGTGTCTCCCTGACAAGAAAACTAGGGACAGATCAAGAAGTAGCTGCCTGGAAACTCCAGCAGGCAGGGAGGCAGCACGTGGCATGTCGTGGTGGGAAGAGGAAAAGTCCCCTCTTGGCCCGCAGGATGTACGGGCCCTGTGTGCATGTCGATGAGTCCTGAGGACATGTGGGTACAACACCGTCCCCACCCAGAGCCCTGCCCGGGAGGAGTGCGAGGTCGGGGTGTGTCCCAGGGGGATTTGTGAGGTGCAGGATGCAGCCAAGAACAGTCTTTATTACAGCTTATTTTTAAGCCAGGGGGACAGCTGGCAGAGTCCCAAGCCATCCCACAGAAGGACAAGCAGAAGGGAGTGTACAACTGATGGCTGATTTCCTTACCAAAAGGAAGGATCCTGATTTGACAGAGTATACAGGGAGGCTCGTGGCCTAATCAGGGGGCCATCTGTGCAGAGATAGTTATAGTAAAGGAGCATGCCAAGTGCCCACCTGACCGAGGGGACACTAGGGGCCGCAGTCACTGGCCAATGAGGCTTTGAAGAGCAGAGAGCCGGGTGCAGTAGTGCACACACCTGTAATTCCAGCACTCGGGAGGCTGAGACAGGAGATTCAAGCTCAAGCCTAGCCTGGAGAGCTTAGTCTCTGTCTCAAAATAAAATATAAAAGGGGCTAGGAGGCAATTTAGCACCCTGGGGTTCAATCCCCAGTGCTGAAAGGAAAAAAAGGAGAGATTTGAATTAGTGGAGAAAAATGGAGTTAGGAATCATTGTTTTAAAAACCCATCCTGAGGGCGGGGAGTATAGCTCAGTGGCACAGTGTCTGCCTGGCAAGCATGAAGTCCTGAGTTCAACCCCAAGTACCCAAAAAAAGTAAAAAACCTAACCCGAGCATAGTGGCTTACACCTATAATCCCAGCACTCTAGTAAGCTGAGGCAGGAGGATTGCAAGTTTAAGCAAAGCCCAGGCAATTTAATGGAACCCTGTCTCAAAATAAAAAATGTAAAGGGCTGATACAAAGGAGTTTAATCTTCATTACCCTACTCCACATACAATAAATAAGTTCATAAAAATGAATAACTAAAAAATAAAAATACCTAACTTGTATTAAGACTTCCCACATGCCAGGTACTATTCTAAGGACTTGCATGGACATGTCCTGGCCAGCTCACCCTCACAGTCCCCATGAGGAGGGCCTGTCATTCTCCTGCTTACAGATGAGGCGGGCACAGCCAGCCTGAGGTCAGACAGCCCAGTGAGAATAGTGGAACAGGGAGCTGGAGCATGCTGTCCACTTCTGAGCTGTGTGGTCTCCATGGATTGGTACCCAGGGAGCCAGCAGTGGAAATAGCAAGATGGTAGAGCAGCCAAAGAGAGCCAGTGCCCACCCAAGAGCAGCGAGACTCAAAGGGCCTGGGAGGACTTCAAGAGGTTCGCTTGGTGGCTAGAATGAGAGGAGATAGGTAAAACCTGCACCGGTTCCCGGTGTAGGTTCCCAGCTCAATGTTGAGGCTGAGATAGGCTCGGAGCATGGCTCCTCCGTGCAGTGAGAGGGTCCAGTACTTCCCATCAGAGGCAGTGTGTCCACAGCCTTCCTGCCCTTCCCCTGTCCTGGGGCAACTCCTGCAGGGCTGGGCAGCCCATCCATCCAGCAGCTTCCCTCGGGAGTGGGACATGGGCCCTGAGAGCTCTTGTTCTGACTTCACCCATCTTCCTTCTTACAGAGCACCTTCTCTCCAAGGTCAAGTCTGTTTCCAGCTGCATCGAGCAACTGGAAAAGAGTCGAAGCCAGTATCTGACCTGCCCAGAAGGTAAGAAGGCAGCCGCCAGGCAAGTTCGGGAATGCTGCACTGCGGGGACTGTGACAGGTCCCTGGGCACTGGGAAAGGAGTGTGTATGACTCTGAAAGCAGAGAAGCAGAGCATCCAAAAATGACATCCTCAGCCTGGCCTGAGAAATGTTTCTTCCTGCTCCTGGCAGATATAAGTGACCTTCTGCACTCTGTCATGCTGCTTGGCCACCTGACTAGTGACACCATTGCTCACGGGAGCAGCACCAGCCTCAGGGCCCCGCCAGAGCCTGCAGACTGTGAGTAGTGGGGTTCAGGGGCTGCCCTGAAAACAGGACAAGCTGGAGGCCTTTAAACATCCTATTGCCCTGTGTTTCCAGCACTGACCGAGGCCTGCAAGGAGTACGGCAGGGAAACCCTGGTCTTCCTGGCCTCCCTGGAGGAAGAGGCTGACAGCACAGCTGTAAGGAACTGCCTGAGCAAGATCAAGGCCATTGGCGAGGTACTTCCTTCTGCACTTAGGACTCGAGCGAGGCTTGGGCAGGCTGACCTCCCAAGGGACTTCCCACCAGTGTAATTCCCTGACTGTTACTGGAAAGGTGCTGTGTGACTGACACTATGCAAGAAAGAGATAAGCAGTTTTCCTGTCTAAAGGTTGTTAGCTGATTGAGCATCTAACATCTCAAGTAGGCGCAATAGTGTATTTATTCGTTCTGTAAAGATGTCATGAATACATCCTCTCTACCAGGAATTGGGTCACACTAGGACAAAAATACATGAACCCTATGTGAAAGAAAAATAAGAAAGGCAGCCATTTTGTAGACTGACACGAGATGTAATAAAAATCTGTTTAAAGATTATAATACATAGTTATACTTAAGAGGCACATGCCTGTAATCCCAGCTACTTGGGAGGCTGAGGCAGGATGATTGTGAGTTTGAGGCTGGCCTGGGCACCTTAGTGGAACCCTGTCTCACAAAAAAAAGTACAGTACAAGGTAACATTTAATTCATTCCTAAAGTACGTTCAGGCATGTGGCAGTACATTCAGGCAAGTACTGCTCTTTCTCATCTCCCATTGGGACTCTTGTTCTCTCTCTGGTTTTGCTTTGTTTGTTTGTGTTTTGTTGTTTTGCAGTGCTAGAGTCAAACATAGGGCCTTGTGTATGGCGAGCGCTCTACCACTGAGCTCTGCCCCGGCCTCTCATGTGAGCTCACTGACCTCTGATGCATTTTTCTGCCTCTTGTCACTTTCCTCTCTGCTCTCTTCCCATAACAGACATTCGATATTTCTTTTTCGGTGACAAAAATCAAAGTATGAGGTATGATCACCACATATGGGGACGATTTACATTTTTAATAATTTCTTGCAGGAAAAGACACATTACCATGAATCCCTGTCAAAATATTCCTCCTTTCCTCCACACTTACTCAGTCATTCCTGCCCCTTTCTGAGGCAGTTCTGGAAGTCCTCTTTACTTGTATTGTCAGGACTGCCTAGATGTCCTGAATCAAGTCAAAATGTTTCCCTTTCATGGTCATTTTGACTTTGGGGAAGAGCTGGAAGTCACACAGTATCAGATCCTGTGAATAAGGTGAAGGAGGACGTTCTGCCCAGTTTTTACCGGAGAGAAATTGCTGTAAATGTTTGCTAACATGGGCTGATCACACAACACAGTGAATGTTTAAATTAAAAAATTCCCGTATAAAAGACACCAACACTAGACCATGTGTCATTTACTGTCATAGATTTTTTTTTAATTTACATATTCACCATAGTTTTCAGTCACTGTGTATGCAGCTCAGCATACAAGGACATTTCCTGTCCTTCCATTCATTCTCCTTGCTGGGCTCTTCTCATCGCTCCCTCACCTGACACGCTGGCAGCTGGCACCGCCAGGCACCTGCTCACGTGTGTGTTGCCCTGAGCTGGAGACTGCACTCTCATTGCATCCCAGACTCCAGCACAGCTAAATCAGTGCCCGGCTTATGTTCAGTTGGTTGACTGTATACATATAGAGCACACGTAGAGAGCAAATCAGGTAAACAGAAGGGCCTGAGTTGGGGAGGGAGCTTCCTGAGAGGAGGAGGATGACTGCATAATGGGGAACTGCAAGCTTTAGCATCATTATTACTGTTATTTTATTTCAGTGTTAGTAGACAGGGTGGTAGCATAAGTGCTGGAGACAGAGCATCCTCCCAGTGCACTGCTGAAGTGGGTAAATTGAGGACTCAGTACGCAAGTCCAAATATGGAGGACACCATGAGGAGATAAAAATTAATGAAACAGTGTGGTGGATAGATCATGGGCAGGCTTCCTTTCTAGCCAGGTATTCAGAGGATCTTCGCAGCGCAGGATATGGAAAGTGCTGGATAAATTTGGGGCAGAAAACATTTTTTTAAAACTTGAACAATTGAACTGACTAAAAGTTAAGGAAATTCTCAGGATCAGAACCACAAATATATGTTGGTGGACATTTGGGTTCTTTCTAGTTCAGGCCGTTATGACTGCACCCCCATGCTCATTCTGGTACATGTTTCCTGATGAATATGTGTAAGAGATTACCTAGAGTATATTCCTAGGAATAAAATTACAAGGTTATACAATGAAACAGTTGCATAGAATGTAAGGGGAAATATTAAGTCATAGAAAAATACATACTGTGTGATTACTTTTGTACAAATTTTTATCATTTAAACTTTACAATACCTTGTTTAAGGATGCATCTATGTGAGGTTTTATAAAAGGCATGACAGTTACTCTCATGAATCTATCTTTATTTTGAGGTGGCGGGTAGGGAGAAAGCTAGAATTCAGGCAGGAAATAAAGGAGATTACAAGCGTAATACATTTCACCCTGCCAAGATCTGGAATTACAGCTGTGCACCACCACACTCAGCCAAAATTTGTATTTCTTAACTGATATCATAAAAACATGAAAATTGCACAAAGTAGTGTGCTACCAAATAATGTTTCTGTACCACATATATACTGCATAACATTGAAAAGTGTGTTCTTATTTAAATTGTTTAAATAAGCATAGCAGGAAGCATAACATAGTATGTGCTTAAAGACATGGCTTTAGCTAGTCGTCGTTACATCTGTAATCCCAGCACTCTGGGAGCTTGACGGAGGAAGATCGTGAGCTCTATCTCAGCCTGGGTGACTAGTGATTTAGCAAGACCCTGTCTCAGAATTTCAAAGGGGAGGGAATGTAGCTCAATGCAAAAGACCCTTGTTTTAATCCCCAGTACTGCAAACAAAGGAAGAACTCTACTACTGAGCCACATCCCCCCAAATCCTGCAAACAAACGAGCACACACTACATTGGTTTTGCATCATTCGGACCTGAGGTCTTATTTCTGCTCTTCCCTCGTACTAGTAGCATAGCTGTGATCAGAGCATTCTGCCTCTCTGGGCCTTGGTTTGTTACCTCTACAACACGATAGGAACAGCTGCTGAGTCATACTGGTTGGAAGATACATTTGTGGGGTTTTGGGGGTGATATTCGGTTTGCTTTGGTTTGGTTTGGTTTGGTTTGGTTTGGTTTGGTACTGGGGATTGAACTTATGACCTTATGCTTGCCAGGCAGGCTCTGAGCCACTGAGCTTTATCCCCAGCACATGTGTTTGAGAAAGTTTTAAAATAATTCCACCTATATGGAACATGGTGGCACACACGTATAATCCCAGTACTGAGAGACTGAGGCAGAAGGATTGCCATGAATCTGAGGCCAGCCTGGTCTCCATTAGTGAGCTCCAGGCCAGCTGTACTATATATAGCAAAACCTTGTCTCAAAAATTTTTTTTAATTTAAAAATACATAAAATACTTCCACTTAGCGAATAAGTTGGCACTGTACAAATATGGGGTTAGGGCCCAAGCACCTGCAGCTGAGTGACCTTGTGGGACATCTTGGTTACTTTTCTCTCATTACTGAGACAAACTACCCAACACCCAAAATTAAGGAAAGAAAGGTTTATTTAGCTTAATTTTTGGAGGTTTCAGTCTATAACCAGCTGGCTTCAAAGCAGGGTGGCATGGTACTGGGGCAACACTTCAAGAGAGCAGCAAAAAGTGGGGAACAAGCCTCTTCTCCCTTTTATCACACACAGGCCACCAGCTGCCTACCTCTAGGGCAGATGTAGACTTACAAAATCTCTGTGCCTCCTTTTCCACAGAATGAGAATATTTACAAAGTAAAGATCCTGGCTTCCTGCTCAGTCTCTCAGTTAAACTTCTAAACTTCTCAAGTTGACACAATGTATCAACCGTAACTGAGGTTAAGGTGGTGGCTTCCTACAGGCTCCCACCTTGGCCATCCTATAAGGGTGACCACTGCCAAGAGTCAGTGCAGCCTTTGTTACGGTGTTCCTAGGAGCTGCTGCCCAGAGGCCTGGACATCAAGCAGGAGGAACTGGGAGACCTTGTGGACAAGGAGATGGCCACCACTTCAGCTGCTATTGAAGCTGCCACAGCCCGGATCGAGGTAGGAGATTCTGTGGGTTCTTCGGAAGTGACACTGGTGCAGCTACCCTGGAGCAGCCTTGCCCCATAGACACACCTTAGTCAGACATGAGGCTACAGTGGAGTGGCCCCTGAAAAATAGCCCACTCCCAAGCCCACTACATCCAGGAGGGGCAGAAATGAAGGGGTCTTTGCTAAAGGAAGTCGAGCAGTTTCCCCAAGGGTCAGGTGCTTTGGTGTCAGACCAGCCAGAGTGAAGTTCCAGGCTAACTACTTACTAGTTAAATGGCTTCTATCAATTATACTCATGTGGCTCAGATTTTGCTCCCATTTCTATAGAGTGACAATAACCATGATCCTACTATAGAGACACTGCATGGCAGCCCTACTCAATAGTAATGAATCTCAGAAAAAGCCAAGTGGGAGCCACTGGAAAGGTCATATATCCCTCCTTTGGTGGAAACTTCAGACCACAGCCGCCATGGTAGGATCACCTGCCTCTGGGAGCTGATAGCAGCTGCCCCTTTTGGCTTGGGGTAATCACTCCCGGCACTTTCTGCACTTCAGCCTGGGTGGCCGAAGGTCAGGACCTCCACGGATTGCAAAGTGATCTCCTGCAGCTGCCTCTCCTGGACAGACTGGAGCCCTAAGCTCTCCCTGACCCCCACAGGCTCATGGGTGCAGCATTTAGATTCAGGTTCGTCAGCACACACAGCAGGCTGGACCCGGGATGCAGGAGGATATTGATGGGTTCCTCTCACTAGTGCTGCATTTAGAAAGCCTGCTTTTTTTTAAACAGGAGATGCTCAGCAAATCCAGAGCGGGAGACACAGGAGTCAAGTTGGAGGTGAATGAAAGGTCAGTCTGAGTCACAGCAGCATGTTCCTGGTGTTGGCTCCTGCCCTGCATCCCCATCAGGGATTAGAGTAAAACTCAGCAGCCTTGGAGAGTTGCAGTGTCTGTGTGAGCAGCTGTAGTGCTGCTGCATTATGGGGAAATGGAGCGCAGGAGTCGCAGCCGAGCCTTTTCTCATAAGGAAGGTCCTGGGTCGGTCTTCTCACTGGCCAAGGGCTTCATCCTGGGCGGTTTTAGCTGTCTTGGTACCTTTCTGGCCTCCCAGTCGCATCCCAGGTTTGCCTTGGCTTAAGAGTGAAAGAGGGGATCATCCTATTGTTCTTAGTCTCTGTCTCAGACTTGTTTGTTTTTTGCCCAGGATCCTTGGTTCCTGTACCAGCCTAATGCAAGCCATCCAGGTCCTGATTGTGGCCTCAAAAGATCTCCAGAGGGAGATCGTGGAGAGCGGCAGGGTGAGCAGGGTGTGGGCCAGAGGATGGGGGCTCAGCTGTCATCTGTGGCTCCCCCGCTGCTGGTTTTTTCTCTGTCCATCGTGGCACAGCTACCGCACCCATGGGCATCAGGTACTGTGGGATGAAGGGGGGCCCTGCCAGCTTTGAGGGCAGCCAGCACCAGCTTCTGGCTCCAGCTCACACATCCTAGGGAGACCTGCTGTGGAAGCCCCACTTCTGTTGCCAGTGTGGGGCCTCCAAGGAGGAAGTGAGCACTTTGGGAAATCGGGCAGCTCTCAATAACAAACCCAGTGCTGTCCCTCAGAGTCCTAGTGGGATTGACCCCAGGGCCCTCATAGATACCGAAATCTGCAGGTGCTGCCATCGTTGCTGTTACAGGATGGCATGGAATTTGCATAAAACCTACACACATCCTCCCATACACTTCAGAATACTTCTAGCTGACTTCTGATACCTACTGTAGTGTAAATTCTATGAAAAGAACTGTTACATTGTAGTGTTTCATGAATGGTAAGAAGAAATCCGTACCTCTTCAGTACAGATACAGTGTTTGGTTTTTTGTTTGTTTGTTTTTAATATTTTTGGCCAGACATGGTAGCACACACCTGTAATCCCAGCACTTGGAAGGCTGAGGCAGGAGGATTGCCATGAGTTTGAGGCCAACCTGAGCTACACAGTAAGCTCCTATCTCTAAATAAATAAATGTTTTAAAAAAATAAAGGTATTTTTGCTCCAGGACTAGTTGCTCACAGATCCAGGCAGCCCATGAAAGGGAGGCCGGCTGTGTTGACTTCACACAGCAGCAGAGTGGGCTCATCGCTATTTACAGAGACCCTGCCGTCAACCTCTTGTCCACTGTGCCACTTTGGCCTATTGCTCCTTCCAGTCCTGTGCTCAGCTGCACCCCAGGAGGCTGAGGCTCTGTGTGAGGAGTCAGAGCCCAGACACCACCCTAGAGAAAGCAGCTTACTTGCTCACTACAGCCTGGGGTTGTTTCTTGTCCCAACTGTGGACGGGTGGACAGATAAGGTTTATCTGCAGATCATCAGACACTTCTCAAACATAGGCATATTTTTAAATCTAATTAGAAGTCATTTTTAACATTTATCCACTGTATATGGTCTTCTTTTGGCACATCATGGAGTGCTAGATCCCCTTATCACTTGTGCATTTTATTCATCTAGTGTTTAGTCACCCCTCAGCGTCCTCAGTGAAGTGGTTCTAGGACCTCCTGCAGAAACCAAAGCTGCATATTATATAAAATGGTGGTGTTCGTGTGTACCCTGTGCTCATCCTCTGGTGTATTTTAAATCATCCACACTTATACCTAGTACAGTGAACACACTAGAAAATAATGACTAGAAAACACTCCATGTTCAGTACAGACATGATTCTCTCCCCAACCTTTTGTGGCACTGGGGATTGAACACAGGGCCTCTTGCATGCTATACAAGCACTGTGCTGTTGAACTACAGCCTCAGCCCCTCAATTATCTTCAGTCCATCATTGTTTGAATCTCTAGATGTTGAACCCTTGGACACTAAGGGCCAACTATAGCAATAACAGGCATTGGGAGCCAGGGAAGCCCAGAGTGTACTCATAATTGTTTCCTACATAACATCAGGAAAAATGTTTTTACTTCCCTGAGTCATACTTTACTTTTTCATTTTTTAAATAAGATAGCACCTTGAACTTGCAGTGATCCTCCTGCCTCAGCCTCCCAGAGTGCTGGGTTCGCTGGCATGCACCACTGCCCAGGTGGTGCTCACAGATACAGGTGGTCCATGAAGAGAGAGGGCCAGCTATATTGACTTCCCACAGGGGTGCAAAGTTGTCTTTTCTATAAAATGGGAATGATGGTGCTTAAGTGATAGTGGAGGCTATAGGATTACATATAAGCATCTGGCATGTTGTAGGCTCTCCATAAAAGTGACTGTTACTGATTTTCACTTCTATAGGGAACCGCATCCCCTAAGGAATTTTATGCCAAGAACTCTCGCTGGACAGAAGGACTCATCTCAGCCTCCAAAGCTGTGGGCTGGGGAGCCACCATCATGGTGTAAGTGCCTGGATCCAAGACTTCCTCCCAGCCCCCATTCCATTGGTCCACCCCAGAGATAACTGAAGGAGAAAATAAAAATCATGCCCTAGAGATAAACCAGTGATAAGTCAGTGGGACTCAAAGTTTGAAAGGTACCTGGGTTGGCACAGGGGCAAGGTGGGCAGGCTGTCCTCCCTGTGCAGCAGGGCTGTGGAGTAGGCTGGAGTGAGGGACAAAGCTGTCTGTGACCTTGTCCATCCACTCCTCTCCTGACTTCCAGGGATGCTGCTGACCTAGTGGTCCAAGGCAGAGGGAAATTTGAGGAGCTGCTGGTGTGTTCACATGAAATTGCTGCTAGCACAGCCCAGCTTGTGGCTGCATCCAAGGTAAGATCATACAGGACTCCCCAGGATGCTATAAAGCCTGGTAAAGTTAGTCCTTGGACAATGGAGCTGACCCCAGGAACAGGTAATTTATCCATGAGTCAGGTAAATTGGGGCCCAAATTCTGCCGCGTGGGGGTCCCATACCACCCTCTTCTAACAGCCTAATCACTGCTACCAAGGATCCCTCCCCCCAGGTTTCCATCTGTGTGCCTGTGGGTCCTTGCTTCTGCTGAGACCTTAAAGGGTCTCTAAGTAGTAATCCCAGCATCAAGCAACACTCAGAGACGCTCCAGTTGGCCAGGAAGAGAGGCCACCTGGTGTGGCTGTGCAAGTATATATAACTCATATTTGCCCCTGCTTTTTAGTCTTCAAACTCGAACCAGTGTCCCAGCTAATCCTGTGCAAAGCTTGTAACTTTATAGCTTTCACAGACATCACCCAGTGAGTGTTCTTCATTTGTTCATATTTTTTTGTTGCCTTAGATTGTCTTTTACAACTGGAACAGTTTACTGAAGTGAAAAAGCTAGAACTTGAGGCTACCAAGCCCACAAGCTGGGAAGGATTGTTTAGACTATAGGCATGCTGGGAGAGGACTCCACAAGCAGCAGTTTTTAAGAGATTGACTCATAACAGGGGGTCGTACTTATTTGTCAAGACTCATCAGACCAGCTAGCTATTCAGTGCAGTCCTTGATGCTACCCATGTATGACCCTCAATCCACTTTGTCCCGGCAGGTGAAAGCTGATAAGGACAGCCCCAACCTTGCCCGGCTGCAGCAGGCCTCTCGGGGAGTGAACCAGGCCACGGCGGGGGTGGTGGCCTCAACCATCTCTGGCAAATCACAGATTGAGGAGACAGGTAACCTTCCAGAAGTACTGCTTTCCTCCTCTACCCTGTTTAGCCACTAACTGTATTTTACCCCATGATCCCAATTTCCCATGGTTCTGTTTCGAAATGCTCTTTTTCATCTTTCTGTTGTATACTTATTTTCTCCTAAGGTGGATACCATATTATAGCAATATAAGCATGCTGCTTATATTGCTACAATGGCAGGCCCCTAAGTAGATTTTCAGAGAAATAGCTAAAAGGAAAATCTGCAAGCCGGGTTGGTCCTTGGAGAGGACAAATGCTGGTCACCCCCTCCATCCTTCCTTGCTCTCTATCCCTCAGTTTCTTCTATGTATGTGTTGGCACGTGGCAGGCCAAGCATTCTAGCAGGCCAAGCATTCAAGCATTGGTGTTGCCTGGGGGAGATCAGCCAGGGATGTTATTTGACAAGACCTTCTCTTTTCCGTCCTTGCAGACAACATGGACTTCTCAAGCATGACGCTGACCCAGATCAAACGCCAAGAGATGGATTCCCAGGTGAGAGCCCCATTACCAGCTCTGATTCTAGAGATCTGCACTGCAGAGACATCAGCCCCAAGTGTTGTTTCCAGGGAGAGAAGCCAGAGAGAGAACGAAACTTGGAGGGAAATGAACACAGATGTTCCTCCTAGCCCAAGACTAAATGCTAATGATGTTGGAAGACTCAGTGGAAGTAAGAGAGATGATTAGCAAAGATCAGAATCTGAAGTCTTGCCCACTTGTCTTGAATTGGTTCCTTTAGACACGTTTAGGGATCTCCTGGCAGCCCACCCACTGGTACTTAATAGTCTTACTGTCACCCAATGCTAGGGTTCCTAAGGGTCCCTTCCAGGGTCTTGTCCTGTTCAAAGACAACTGTTCAAAGACAGATACTGAAATTTTACACTTCTTAAAGCTAAAAGTAGAGAGGAAAGAAGTATGAAGGAAAAGAAGTGTGGGAAAAGAAAGTACAAGACAGTGGCCACAGGGTCAATGGCTGCCATCTTTTCTAACCCCTTGTAACATCAGATCCAGGCGAACCTGCCGCTGTTCTGCACATGTCCTGGCTGTGATTGACAGGTCATGCCCAATTGCCCAGCCGCTTCACCATGCCCTAATTTCCTGCCCTCACTCCTATACATGTTTTCAAATACTCTGAGACAAAATGTGTATGTTGAAGAGTAGAATTGGAAAAAGAAAAAGAATAATAGAAGTCAACAACAAAAAAGAAAAAATAGAAGTTGACCAAAGAAAAGAAAACTCAGTGGTATTCAAATTTATCTCCCTGGTTCAGTAGAACTAGACCATGCAACACAGGAATCAATGGAATTCTTGAAAAAAATTTGCTTATCTGTTCATCAGTCTCAGATTAAAATCCAAGTTGGGCTGTTAAAACTTCACAGGTGGTTCACTTAGCATCTTATAGAAGTCATGTGGCCAGATTTCCAACCAAATGCAGAAAGATACTAGTCAGAGGGGACCATGCCTTTCATCCAGCTACTCCGGCAAGAGGACTGCAAGTTTGAGGCCAGCCTGGGCAACTTAATGAGATCCTGTCTCAAAATAAGAATTCAAACACAGCTGAGATGTATTTACCTAGCATACATGAGGACCCTGGGTTCAATCCCAGCACAACAACAACAAAATTAATAAGTCGTAATAGAACCATTGGGCTCCCCCTGTCCTTGACTGTAAATACCATCTGTATGCTGCTCAGTACCCAACTTCCTGGCCTAGATCTCTCTAAACTCCCTGTGTGCCTAGCTGTATGTTTTCGCCACTTGATGTTCATAAGTATCTCAAGTGGAACATGTCCCAAGCACGTACCTACCTCGTGTTCTCCATCTTGTCAGTGGCACCACTGCCAACCCACCTGGAGTTGTCTGTGGTTCCTCTCTTTGCCTCACCCTCTGTATCCAGTTGATTCATCTACAAGTCCTGTCAGCTCTGAATCTCCAAAGCCCCGCCTTAGGCTTTCTACTTCTCTGAGTCTCCTCCTCTGTCTACACCACCCTTGTCTGTCCATCTGCCCGTGACTGAGCCATAACAGTTACATTCGACTGTTTGAGTGGGTGGTGGGCGGAGGAGAGGGGAGGCGCCGTCCTCCTGTGGGTGTCTTACATTGTCTGTAATGGTTTAGTTGAGAAACAATGAATCACACCTCTAGGACTACTAGTTTACTTTTACCCTTGACCTGCTACAGTGCATTCATCTCCATGTAGTTTTGTTTTTTTTGTTTGTTTGTTTGGTTGGTTTTTTTTTTTTTGTCTTTTTCCTTTTTATTGGTACCGGGGATCAAACTCACAACTGCCTGCTTGCAAGGCAGGCGCTTATGCCGCTGAGCTAAATCCCCAGCCCCTCCATGTAGTATTTTAACAATATAAAGGATGCATGTCACCTGCTTGCTTTGGTCCTTCCTGTGACTTCCCCTTGACTAGAATAACAGACGACACCTACCAGCCCTGGCCACAGCATCTCACAGCACACCTCACCTGGGACCCTCCCATTCCTCCAGTACCTCAGGCTCATTCCTGCCCTGGGCCTTTGCTCTTGCTCTTTCTTTTGCCTGGAATTTTCCTCCCCAGCTCTCCAAACAGCTGTATAGGTTCCTGTTGGTTTCAGCTGAAAGTGACTTTCCAGGAGCATCTGTGGCTGGCCACCCTTAGTCTTTATCATGTCACCCTGTTACTTTCTTTAGATTGAATTCTCGTGTTCATTTGTTTGTTCTTCTCTGTCTTCAGCACCTGTAGCAAAGACTGAGGCCCACGATGGGTGTTCAGCAAGTATTTCTTGAATTACTAAGTAAAAATCTAACAAGAACCACCCCTTCCTTTAGTAAGATTGTCTGTCTTTTCCTTTAGCAGTAATAACCACAGAGATACCAGAAGCATCATAGTTCTTCCTCTGTGGGCTCCAGGGACTGGGATTGAAGGAGAAGGGTCCCAGCTAGGCTGGAGCCCAGCATGCACGTGGGCTAAACCAAGTGCTGTTCGGGTGCATCATCCAGAGAACCGGAAGGCGGGCTCTCCTCCCATGGAGGTGTTACCTATAAACCACTGTCCCTCCCAGGGAGGGTCACAGGTGCGGGGGAGAGCGGCGAGGCAGAGCAGAACAGGTGAGCTACAGAAGCAGAAGGATGGAAGAAGAAAATGAGAGCGCAGGAACAGGGTTAAGTCCAGATAAGGCAGAGCTCTGAGCTGATCTAAGGAAACCTCTGCTTCCTTTCCCAACAGGTTAGGGTGCTGGAGCTGGAAAATGAGCTGCAGAAGGAGCGTCAGAAACTAGGAGAGCTGAGGAAAAAGCACTATGAGCTTGCAGGTGTTGCCGAGGGCTGGGAAGAAGGTGAGCTGCCCCGAGGACCGGCAGTGTCACCACGAGGAGGGCAGCTGCATGGCCGGAGTCTCCCCTCTCATGGGACAGAACAAGAAGAGACCTGCTGATGTGTCGTTTTCTTCTCTTCTCTTAGAGCCTGTTTCCCTCTGTAAATAACCTTTAAGCCTAAAGCCCGGGCAAATTGTAGTGAATTAGAAGCTTTTGCTGTCATGCTTCAAAACTGACTGGCAAACTCGACTTAAAGCTATGTACTTGCAGGCCACCAGCTTGGGTGGCACCCCACAAATGTAGCCCCTGGCCAGTGCAGAGTTAGTGGTCAGTGGGGATCGGGCAGCCAGAGGCAGGCAAGATACAAGTTTTTGTCCAGAGCCAGTGACAGGCCATGATGGCCAGAATACAAAGGCTCAGGAAGCAGTGGGGGATGAGGGAACCCCCATCTCCGTGACTGCCATCACCTGCTGTCTGTGTGTGCCAGTTCCCACATGCCCAAGGTGGCCAGCCAGATGAGAGCCAAGAATGTAGCTTCTTGTTGGTGTTGACCCACCACAGACCTATCGTAGTGACTTCCTGGGCACTGAACTTGGGAAGGAGATGGTTATACCACGGTCAGGGTTGTCACATATGTTATAGCCAAATATAGTAGTAGTGTGTGTTGGTTTAAGGCATGCACACACACATGAAACGCCATGCGACATAAATTACCATTGTCTTCTAGGAACAGAAGCTTCTCCACCTACACTGCAAGAAGCAGTACCTGAAAAAGAATAGAGGCAAGCTAACCTGCCATACGTCAGTGTAAGTCCTCATTCCGTATGTATGTGTGTGTGTCCAGCTTCAGGACAGGTCCTTGGTGTCCCAGTGACAGCCATTGACCAAATCAAAGGACTTGCACAACCCTGCAAAGACTCCCTCCTCAGTGAAACCGCCTGTGTTTGAACCCATGACGGGGTTCTCTCCCTGCCTTCCTGGTGTCCATGTAGGCTGCTTCATGCACACATGAGTAAGTCTCTGTCCAGGAGGGAGATAGGGTCACTCTACAGAGAAGACACCAGCTGGTCTGTCCACTCTTCATTTCCATAGCAATTAGCATCCTTCTTAGAGGGATTTCTTGGTGCTATTGTTGTTAAGAGCTTGGAAAGAAAGTATCTTACGTTTTTTTCTGTTCCTTTTATTGCAGTCTTTTCCGTTTCATCATTTGCACAAACTTCCAAGCATCAAGGACTGGTGGCCTCCAAGCCAGGATGCTCCCGGAGTGGAGCCAGGACCATGGGAACATCCAGGCTGAGAACAGCAAGGCAATTCTCCCCTTCTTTTGGCAGTCCCAAGGATTTTCACTACTTCTTATGGTGGTTGTTTGAGTCTTTTGGTTTTAGATTTTGGAAGTTTCACTCACATAGCCAACTCTCTCTGGAGCTCCGAGCCCCCAGGACCCACACCACACAGCCACGGTACTGTTCAGGCTTCACCTGGTGCTCCAACTCAGCCTCCTCACCGAGTGCCCTGCTGAGTGAGTGCCGGTCAGCCGAGGCCACTCACCAGGGGCAGGCGACAGCTCTCCTCAGAAGGCTGAAGCAGAGCGAGTGCCTTTCCTTCTTGACACTGGGCACCAGCGGAACACCTGTGTCCACCATCACAAGCCAGAGGGCCCCCTGAGTCAGGGTGCACACAGCCCCTGGACTCCCGGGGACTCCTTTCCTCGGAGCTTACCCACCCCAGCCCTTGGTTGAATGGCGCTGGCAAGAAAAGCAACGCTACTTCCCTGGGGTGAATCACCCTTGCCACATGAAGTGGGCCACCTCCCTCCACCCGGGCGAGGGCCTAGGAAAGTGTGAGACAGGCTTCTGTTCCTCCCTCTGCCTGCCCTGGCATCCTCTGGAATCCAAGGAAGATAGTTCCATGTGCTACCTAACTAACAGACCCGGCAGAGTAGGCCCTCTCGTTCCCGTCAGGAAAGAGCTCTGTGTTGGTGTGGGCCCCTTCGTATTTATTACTAACCTTTAAGCGGCAATGGCTGACACAGAGATGCTTGGAGCAATCAAGACTGCAGGTGACTGTGATAAGCCTGGCACTGCTGCCCTCCAGCATCAGTTATCAGGGATCCCAGACAAGGCCAAGGTGCCGTCCCTGGGCAGTTGTAGGCTTGGATCCCAAAAGCAAGCAGGTTCCTCGGAGCATTTGGGGCAAGATGAACAAGAAATGGGGCCACACATTCTCGGCCTTCACTGCCCTGCAGACAGGACAAGGACAAAGAGCACAGCTGCCTAGAGACAGGGAGCCTGATAGCGCTTGCTGCTCCCAGATGGGCCCCAACATCAAGTGACCTTGCGATCTTGGAAAAACAGCGTCTTCCTTCTTTATCTGTAGCAGCTCATGGGTAGTAGGCCTGCACTTCTTTGTACCTGGGCTCATCGCTGGGTGGCTGAGTTTTGCTACGTGACGGGTTGTGAGATTTGTTTAATCACTGTGAATCAACCTCCTCACCTTCCCAGTCCATGCATTTTCTAAGTAGGACACTTAAAGCACTGTCTCCCAGAAACTCAGATTACCATTTTCTGGACATGGGACCTCTGTGCTGGACTATGTGGAAACTGGCTCTGTCTCTCTGTGCTCAGCATCTCTCCATTCCAAGGTTTAGAGGGAGCAGCATGTGGCCCCCAGCCCATCTGTGCCACATAAGCCAGTGAGTGCATTGTTGCTGTGGGTCACCTTTTCCAGAAGTGGTACCTAATCCTCACTTTCAGTCTAAACCGCTCAGACTCGTGGTGGTGGAAGAGGAGCACACTAGGATTCTCTGAATAACACTCCCACGGAGATACCATAGTCACTTTTAAGACTCTCCTGGCCTCCGCTTGAGTAATTAAACAGTCAAAAAGGCCCAGAGCACAGGCAAACTCCATGTGTCACAAGCATCACTGTCAGATGTAGTATAATTATTCCATCATAGCTCAGATTACAGACTATCCCACTCAGTTATTTTCTACCTTGGCTTGTCTAAAAATGATTGTTAAGAGTGGGGATAAAATATCTTATAGAAATCACATCTTCACACTTAAATGAGTCAGGCCTTTTTAGTGAATGAAGTCTAGTAAGTGAATATAGATGGGGCCTAATCAGGCAGGATGGCAACAAAATGCAGGTTTAGAACTGAAGAGGTCTGGTATTCTGGGATACAGTGCTCTAATGCCTGCAGACTAAGGACACTTGCCAACATAATAAGGAAAAACAGGAATAGATCTTCCTTGGTGGGGTCATTTTATATCTAAGCATGGAGTTTAGACTCCTTAATTTCCATTACTTGCTGGTTCTGTTGCTCTCAGTGGACCCCCCCATCATCCCACACGACTGAGTCCTTAACCCAGTGCCTGGAAGAACCCCACACTGTCCAGAGCATCCTGTGTTGGAATTCTTTCACCTACTAAGTCAAACACCAAGGTTTAGGCCAGAGAGCACAGGACTCACAAGGACATGTCATTTCAGTCAGTGTAGTTTGCTTTGGCGTCTTGCTTCTTAGGAAGAGCTGGTTGTCAACAATACCTGGGAGTTCTCACTTCTATAGTCTGAAGGGGTCTCCTGGCTCCATTTCACCCTGGTCTTTAATAGCTGGCAAGTGTCCTGCTACTTTCTATGCCTTTCCAAATCTCTGGAAATCCTGCCAAGGAAAGCCTTCTGCCCCAACATTGGCCTTCTGGCCAGAGTGGCTTTGCCTTCTCTGCCATCTTGGCTCCTTGAGCAACTGCACTGCCTGTAGTTTAGGAAACCACCTCCACGGAGCCTGCCAGCCATCAACACAGTAAAGCTGTTTACTGCTCAGTTCTCTGTCTCCCAGGTCCAGGCCATTTACAGGGCCAGTAACACCCAGGGGTGTCATTGCCTTCCATGCGCAGGCACCAGAGCAGCAAGATAGAATTGGTTAGATGCTGTTGAACCCAATTCCAGAAGGAGATCTTCCCAGCCGTGTCTTTCAGGTGACCCTCAACTACCTCAGGTTTGAAGGCCCTAAATTAAGCTGATTACCACTCATAGGGACAAACCGAGGGGGTTTGGTTAAATCTAGGTAATAACACACATGTCTCAAACCTATAACAAACTCACATTTAGGTTTGCAGGGATGGAGTCGGGTTGGTTTTTCTGTTTTTAACCTCTTCCCCCCAGTTCTCCATTAGAATAGTCCCTACAAATAAATTTCATTTTTCACTGAGTCCCTGCCTTCCCAAAGGCAGGTGGCCACTGGCTTTTGTCTCTTTCCAACAATACTTTTATTACGGTATTAAGACCTTTCTTTGTATAATACATTGCATCTGTGTTTTCAATTTTTCAAATAAATATTTCAGGCTGGCAGTGGGGGATAGCAATGAACTGGTCAGAGTGGCCCTGAGGCCTGCTCCAGGGGAAGCCTGCTGGTGCATCCTGAGATTCCTGGAATCCACTTAGCTCTGGGCCTTCGAGGGAAATTTACTGGAACTTCTACACATGTTCCATCTTTGTCCACTGCCCTGTGAGACTGCTCAAACAGTACCGATGGGTCATGACTATGATTTATCCAGAAGGCCGAGTCTGCATAAAATTTGTGGCTATTCTCTCAATCTAAAAGATACAGACATCACCTGCTCCCTTAAAGTTGGATATGACTAATTCAGCTCAGAAACAGAAGCTGCTACCATGAAAGGATGCAAAGAGAGAGAGTCACAACCACCAGAGGATTTGCAGAGGTGCTAACAGAATGGGGCTGGGTTGTAGAATGACCTTTCTACTGCAGAGTGGGCTGCATACAGATAGATGAGGAGATCCGCTGGGGACACACAGTTGGATAAGGGCTGGACAAGATACACAGGAGTCCCTGCTTGGCCCAAGTGGCTCCTCAAGAAAGGAATAATGAGGTGAGTAACCAGAAGCTAGAGCCTATGAAGTCAGAGAACAGGACGATGACAGTACACACTGTGGCCTATGGCTTCTTCACATCTGATTATGTCACAGTGATCGTGCCTGCTTGGAAGCACTTCTGATAGAATGGATGGTTCTTGGTCGCAGCACCCCTGCAGGTTATTCCTAGAGCTCCGTTGTGAAGCTAAGAAGCTCAGAAAGCCAGGCAGCAGGACTGCCCTGGGTGCAATGCCTTGATGGGACTGCACTGAAATTGGCTAAGTCCCCTCCTGGGCCTGCCCTGGGCCAGCAGAACCTTTCTGCTCCTGCAGGTTTGCCACAGCCCGGGCCATTCCTCCCAGAAGCACTTTGCCTTGAGCAGGTGCCCTAGGAGCTGGTACTCACACCCCTGGGGACTTCCTGTGGTCCTGTGAGCAGGCCCCAGTTCCAGGAGGATAGCCAGGCCAGCTGGTCATTTGGGCCAGTAGTGTTCTCATCAGCCAGATGATGCTAATGGGCCCCTCAAAAGGCTTAGAGAGTTAAGGTCTCTACAGGCAGATTTTGAAGTTGCTTGGGACCCGGGGTCGGGGATGCTAAGGTGAAAAAGAAAGGAGATGGGCAGGTGACAGGAAGGCATGGAATAAAAGCACACTGGGTCTAGCTGTGAGCTGAAGCCACTGGGTTCAAATTCTACTTGCCCTGGTTACCCTTAGTGTCTGGCACATAATGGATGTGTGACAGACCTCTAAACATTACTTCAGGGTCCAACAGACATTCACAGATGCTTTATACACATCACATTGTCATGATGCAGGCACTGGACTTTAAAAGACAAAGCCTTTGTGGTCCCAGTCCTCAAAAACTGCATTCACATGTCTCAGTTGTCTACGGTATCAGGCACTAGAAGCACAACAAGAGCAAATGGTCGTGGTTCTGCCCAGCTGGAGCTCACAGGCTACCGAGAGAAACAGTAGCATGACACAGGAGGCACAGTAACAAGCAGTAAGAATCAAGGTAGCATGCTAGCAGCCTGTAAGGAGCCTCCACAAGGATAGCTGAGCATATCCATGCTTACCAGAGAAACAGACTGAATGCAAGATACATAAGAATTTATGAGATTGGCTTACAATGGCCACCCAAAGTCAGGTGTGGCAGAGTATAAAAGGGCTGTCTGTGCTGGAGACCTGAAGGGTCCAGTCAGAGGCCTAGAACTCTGGGTAGTATCCCATGTGTTGTATCAGTAGGCTAACAGGTCTGTACTAGAGGCTATGCTGGAAGTCAGGAGACAATGTCCAAGGTGTAGGTGAAGACTGGAGCTCCTCCAAAGAACCAAACTGAGCCTTCCTTGTTTGTTCCCTCTTATTCCATGCAGGCTACAAGCCTATTGGTTGCTGTCATTCACAACCAGTCTTCAGTAAATCAGTCCCTTCAGCCACACCCAGAACTATGCTGATCCAATTGAGTTAGGCATTTCTTACTCAAGTTGAGACAGTTAACTGTCACCCTGAGCTAAGGTCCAGAGAATGAGGTAGGCAGAGTAGTAAGTTCACTCCCAGTAGGAGCTGCACATACAAAGGCCTTGTGATAAGACTAAATGAATCAGGGGCTGGGGATTTAGCTCAGCAGCATAAGCACCTGCCTTGCAAGCAGGCAGTCGTGAGTTCGATCCCCAGTACCGACAAAAATGAAAAAGACAAAAAATAATAAGACTAAATGAATCTGAAAAATCAGCAGGGCAAGATTTGCAGTTGGAAAAGATACCTGGGTGCAGTGTGGACACCAGACCCAAACGGACCAGGAGCAGATAGGCAAGCCCAGAAGACAGCTGGTATAATGGCCTAGGCAAAGGACAGTAGTAAGTGAGACGAGAGGAATGGCCACAGAGACAGGGAAGCATTGTGTTGGGGTTGGAGGGTGCTGGAGAGGAGCTTTCAAGGAGGGCTCTGAGGTTTTTACTGACTTATGGAATTGATAGTCCAACCCCCTGAGGAAGGAGATGCTCTCAGTGGGTTTCCTTGGAGAACCCAGGAGATGCTGAGGGATGCCTGGAACTCAGGTCAGAGGTGAGGCAATTTGATGGTGATTGAAACCACAATCAGAAGAATGAGAAAAGAAGCTGCAGAGTGGAGTCTTGAGGCTCATTTAACGGAGCAGCTTGGAAAATGGCATGAGAGGTAGGAAGAGGAGCAAGGGAATGTGGGATCCAGAAACCAAGGGCAGACAGTGTTGGGAGGTGAGCACAGGAGATGTGCTGAGAAATTCTGTCCTAAGTGAGACCATTCCCAAATGGAATGACTGGGAAAGGCTGTCTCTGAATGGTCACTGGTCCCAAAAGGACACATCTGATTCACCAGGTAGAATGAAGGGGTGGTGGTGGCTGGGTACAATAAAAGGACTGAGTTTAGGAAAAGTACGTTCAGGTGATGGCATAGAATTATAAGCCAAAAAATGGGGAAACAAAGCTAAAAAGTTGTGACCAAGCTAAAGATAAGCTTGAGTCCTAGGCTCTCTTAATCCATTCAACTGTATCCCCCAGTCCTATCTTAGTCCATGCAGGTTGCTGTAACAAAATACCATAGCCTTGGGTAGTTTCAATAACAAACATTTATCTCTCACAGTTCTGGAGGCTGGCAAGGCCAAGATCAGGGTGCTAGCAGATAGGAGTCCTGGTGAGATCGCTGTTCCTACCTTGGACACTGTCTTCGTTACTTTTCTGTTACTGCTGGGACAAAATAGCTGACACAAGGGCCAGGGATTTAGCTTAGCAGTACAAGTGCCTGACTGGGAAGCACAAGGTCATGAATTAAATCCCTGGTACAAAAAAAAAAAAAAAAAAAGAAAGAAAGAAAGAAAAGAAAAGAAAAAAGAAAAAAATCTGACACCCAAAGTTAAGGAAAGAAAGGTTTATTTAGCTCAAAATTTGTAGAGGTTCCAGTCCATAATCAGTGGCTCCAAGGCAGGGTGGTGTGGCAGAGGAACATTATTAATTCATGGAGGCAGGAGACAGCAAAAGCAACAAGAGCAAAAGGAGAGAAAATACCCCTTCTGTCCCTTATATTGTATACAGGTTACCCAGGGTAGGTGTAGCACTACACCCCCAATCCCAGCATTAGACAATGAACAAACTCTAGAAGTCCACCACCATGACCACATGAGGCTTTGGGGGAACATCTAGACACAAACCATAACATTCTGCTCCTGGCCCCCCAAAGACTCATGCATATCTCTTTGTGCAAAAGGGATTTTAGCCCATCTCTAAGAATTGCCAAAGTCCTAAAAACTTTCAGCTGAAAAGTCCCAAGTCTCCTCTGAGATCCAAAGCAAAACATTTCCAACATTCAATGTCACAAGATAAACATTACCATTCCAAATAGTGCAAATGGGGATGGATACCAAGGAATGGGACCAAAGCAAGTCCAGAATCCAGCAAGGTAAACATTAAGTCCTGTAGTTCTATGTGGAACATTCAAAGCAATCTGTGGTAAATTGCAAGCTCCAAAAGGCTTGTGTAACTCTGCCCCTGTTGCACTTCTGGTAGTTGTACAGCTTTTAGGCTCACTCTGATCAATTCTAGCAGCTTTCTTTAGATGATCCACATTCCTGTCTTCTCCAAAATTCTGATGTCTCCACCGTACCTTTGGCTTCACACAGCTTCACACATTGCCTTCTCAGGGATACATTGTCTGGCCTCTGAGGCCTTCTTCTGAAATCTGGGTGGAAGCCTTTTTAACCTCAGAACTCTTGCATTCTGCATGCACTTAACATCAGCACCACATGGATGATGCTAAGGTCCACTGCCAGCTGGAATAGTAGCCAGGCTTTATTCTCTCTTGGCTACAGGGATTGAGTGCCTGGATTGCTGGGCATTCTGAACCTAATTCTTTGGAACAAATTTTTATGCTGCCACCATTCTGTCTTTTTTTTTTTTTTTTTTTTTTTTTGTCTTTTTCGTTTTTATTGGTACCGGGGATCGAACTCATGACCACCTGCTTGCAAGGCAGGTGCTTATGCTGCTGAGCTAAACCCCCAGCCCCTACTGCCACCATTCTGGAACATGGTGCTCTGCAGCTTTCTCCTCAAAGCAACATTTCACATTTGCAGTTTGAGACTGCAAAGGATAAGGATTTGCTGCTTCTTGTGATCCCTCAGGCCATCTTTTCTATTCTGCTGTTCCTTCTCAATAGTCAAGATTTCAGCTCTATCTTTGCAGTCCACAGCTTTACTAGAGCTTCCTTTCTGACCAAACTCACGTTTTAAATCATTCTTCTGGCCTTTTTGTTGGTTCTCAACATAAATATGACTAAAAGCCCCCAAAGTAGCATGCCACCACCTCAACATTCAACTGCCTTGAAATTTCTTCTGCCAGATTAGTCGGCTGCCCTTAATCTTAATCTCAGGCAAAGTCTCCAGACATGGGCAAAATGCAGACAAACTTTGTGCCAAGCCATAACACACATTATCTGGAATCAAACAGCCAA